TCCGCCTATCCACGGTGATGCTGAGCATAACAATGCAACGCTGGCGTTCTGCTCCCATGGTACGGATGAGCACACTCTTTTCGCCTTTGGCATTAACCGTACAGTTTTCCGACAAATGAAACCAAACTGGGGTCTGATCGGCATTCCCAATTTGGGACATGATGTATTCATGTTCCTTCCGCAGCCCGATAACATATTTCTAAAAGCTGTGTGGGGATTCCTGTGATCTCCCTTCCCCCGTGGCTGCGATAACGGCCACGGGTCGGATCACTCTGCCTCCTCCGCCGTGAGCTCCGACCTGTCCGTGAAGCCTAGGAGAGCCGCCTGGCTTGGGGGAGCTCTCCTCCTCACTCTCTCCCGGGGGGACCTTTTTCCATTCCCCCGCTCGGATCCGAATCACTGCTGACAGGCGAGGAGGCTTTCGCCTCGACTTTTCCTGCTTTCGGGAGGGGACTCGTCCGGGTGACCGCGAAAGAGATGGGACGTGTGTCGGCGACTTCTCCGATGCTTCCCCGGTCTTGGCTCTCCGGAACCCCGCGTCTGGCCAGGTAAGGACCTTTTCTTACCTTGCCGGCGCGGGGGGCATTTTGGATGGGGACATTGTAGTTCATTTAGAAGAGTATGTTAATAAATGCTCTTGGACTCTGTCCTTACTCTGGTATGTGTATCTTCTCTTCCGCTATATTCGAGAGTGAGCCAAGGTAGACGATCATTGGCACCGACGGAGGTAATTAATCGAGCCGACCCGCGGTAATGTAGCCCTAAACGTTGTCTACATTGCCGCGGAGATGTGGGGATTGTGGGCTACTAGGTTTGACGGCTCCTTTGAGATTGCTGCCGCTGTTGAGACAACCCTTTGGTTACTCTATCGGTACCTGTGTTTGTTGGTAGCTAGCAACATCCCATATAAAATGGCGCCCAACGTGGGGCGCCAAAATGTGGGAGTCTAAATACCGTTCGCGAAACAATAAGACCCGGGGCTCACTGAGAGCCCGTGTTCCCACACCCGCCCCGCAGCATACTCGCGTTCAACCGCCGCGGCGCGTTCGTTTGTTTGCTGCACAGCGCCGCTCTAATGGAAGAGACAAACGTACCACACAGTGTGCCGGGTGACCAAACAGTTTAATCACCGCAAGAAGCTATACAGGGCATATAATAATGCGACACACTGAGCACCGGTGACGAGAATTGACTCACCGCTCGATGCATTCCCGAGAGCCGACGGGCGCCAACGTACTGGAGACGGAGAGTCCCCCCTCTCGCGTCCGACACCCCCTCGTCGTCGCCTCCCTAGCGCAGCCTCGACCACAGGGGTCCCAGGATTTGGGGACAATCGCGTCCCCTTTTGGAGGGGGTGACGAGGGTACAGCTTCTAAGATGGCACTGTCCCCCTCGCCACCGACGGATGCGTGCGGCTGAACAAATGAATCCAGCGGTTCGCTCCGCGGCCGCTTTAGGGCCTCTCGAGGAAAGGAAATGACCGCATTTGCAGAGCTGAGAAGCTTGTCCTCGTATTCTTCGGGAAGCCGCTGGCAGATTGTCGTCCTTCATCGAATGAAGAGATGTTTTCGATTCAGAAATTTCTGAATTCTGGATTTCTGAATTGAAAGCGAGCGCCATCCAGCGCTCGCTTTGAAATCTCCAGAAGGCACGTCCTTCGCACATGTCAGTTCCAGTGCTTTCATTCTCAACATGTCAGTCGAGAGGGCATACCCACTATTGCGCACTTCTTTCAAAGAGCTGTAGAGCTCATTCCCCAGCTCCGGGAACTTGCAGGGCTTGCTGCAGAATGTGCACCTTGTTTTGTTTGTGCTGGCCAAAGCATCTTCTTGGTCGCGCCAGCACCGCACACACTTCTCGTCAACATCGTAGTGTCACCCTGCTCCACGCTTGCAGTGTTTCAGGGCGAAAGCCACAACTTTCAGTTTAAAACCAGCCGTGTACCTGGTCAAGTGCTTGCCCATTGCACTCGGCTTACAGGCTTGTGGAGACTAAACCTCACTAAGAAAAGCTTCCGCAAGCAGCGGCACTATCTCATGGTTTTGGTTGTTGTTGCGAAGCAGCTAACCAGCCATGAGGAGGACAGGATTGGAATGTGGAAAGAGCAAAAAGTGGTGACAACTCTGTCGCTGCGCCTCTCTGCGCCGCGCGCGGGGTCCCAGCTGAAAATTCTCATTAGATCCAATTGGAATTATAACTGGTTTTATTTGGAACCAATTGGTTTTAGTGGGTTCCAATTGGAAGCACACTAGCCAATGGGTCTCACCAATTGGAAAAAAATTTCCAGTTGGAATCTTAATGGGTTTCAATTGGTTCCCATATTGCAGTGACCAATTGGTTGTCCCAAAACCAAGCTGGTACCAATTGGAAATTCCAATTGGAATCTAATGGGAATTTTCAACTGGGGTGGCGTAATGCCGCGGAGAGTTGTGTAAACACGGCAGCTATGCCAGCACGATAGGCTTCACTGGCGCCGCGCGTCAAAAGGAAGGGGTGCCACTCATAAACAAACACTTTTTTGAAAATATTTTTTCGGGATATTTTGTTTTAAATTGGGGAGTGTGGCTTTTACACGCGATTATAAGGTACTTCAGTTACATTCCACTTGACAGTAACAAACACCAAACCTACCGCAAGCTGGTATACCTCTACCTCACAAGTTGCATGCAGATGAGTGACATTTGCTAGAGCATAGCACCCACTTTTGGAAGAGAACAGTTTGCCCTCCTAAGACTCACTATCATGTGCCCCCATGTCACTTTTGAAACCATCGGGGATTCTCTTGTCCCCAATAAATTCACATGAGAGGGACTTAGTGGCGTGTTCCAGTGCGTGACAACGGCAGGGATGTCGTCACTGTACAGCCGCTATCAGACAAACAATGTTTATTGTCAGGGTGCAACGACCCAGCTCGAGAAGGAGAGAAAGACGAGGTGGCATCTAGTGGCTAAGAATTATAGATGTGACAATGAAAGAAGTGAGAATACACTTAGTGTCTTGCTCGTGCTTCCTGCAACGCCAAACTTGTGCGAGAAACCATATCACCGTAAAATCTAAGGGAGCCTGTAGTCTAGGGAACTTGACTAGGGACCAGTTGGTCTAGGAAACTGGAATAGGGACAGAGTTTGTAATCTAGGGAGCTTGCTTAGGGACAAGTTCCTTAGATGCAATGGTTCCCATTGCATCTGGGGAACCGGCCCCCCAAACTTTTCACTATAAGGAAATCTTCCCTCTCCTGCCCATGGCTCCTTCAACACCGCACCGAACTTGAGAGGTGAACCATAGTACCACGAAATCTATGACTGCCTGCCATATGTCTCATGGTCCCCTTCACACTTAATGAATTTTACAGTTGCCGTTGCCACGATTAATTTTCCCTTTCACCCCACACTGCGCTTCCGCCCAGAGAGGAAACTGGGTGCTTTTCTGTAACACCGTCCAAACTTGAAAGATAAACCACAAAACCATAAAATCTACGGAGAGCGTCCCATATAATTTACGGTTCCCACGCATCTACAGGAGCTTTCTTTAAAATTTACGCTTCCTGTCGGTGTAACCCCTTTTCCCCTGAACCCCACGCTCCGCCTTCGCACAGAAAGGGGACCGGGTGTTCTTCTGCAACAGAGACGGGAGCAACGTGCATGGCTCGTATGCCCAGTACAGTCTGCTTAGCGCCACCGACGTCTGGCCACTGCCAGAGAAGATCAGCTTTCAGCAGGGGGTGTGCCTGGGCATCCCTTACCTCACCGCCTACAGGGCCCTCGTACTCAAGTGAGTAGTGCCGCCCGAAGGCATCGTGGAATGCCTTTGAGATGCAGTTCCATATGGCATAGCAAAGGCACTGGGATGAGCATATTGAAGTGTGAATGAGTTTGGCTAGAGACATTATCGTCTGTCGAGTATTATTCGCATACATTAAAGAGTACAACTTGCACCCTCTAGGTAATTGGTGTGCTGCTGAAGCTATTCGCTTAGTCCAGGTATCACTCTCATGCCCTTTCAATACTAGCGGAGTGCTCTATCGAGTGCACAAGCGACTTCACAACTGAGAAATTGTGAGTAAACTCGCATCATGTGAATTGAGTGTTAGTCAGCCGAACATTGTCTTCAAGCAGTTCCAAAAAGTGACAACAAAGACCTGACAAATGTGTCAAATACAGCAAGGTGACAGGGGTCAGAAAAGCTGTCCCCTTACTGCTGAGAGTACTGGGCAGTGCAATTTTAGGAGTGGGCTACCTTTTGTGTTTTACCTTGAAAAGGAAATTGTGCCTAAAACATCTTTCGAGGATGGAGAATCAGGATATTGCGGTATTCTTCCGTAAGTCTTCTCCACCTTGGAAATTTTGCTTGAATCATTTACACGTATCAAAGAGTAATTATATTATTTCCTTATCAAGTTATCTTCACAAACATTTCTAAACGCTCAAAACAATATTTTTGTAACTGATGCTCTTGAGGCTGGCTTGGCACACAAGCACGTTTTTCGGCATTTTGAGTTGCAGCTGCTGCAATGTCAAGACGTTTGGAAAAGTTGCTAACAAAGTAATTGCGCAGAAACCAAATTTGACGTTCGTGTTTACAGGGTGTAAGGTCGGCTCACCTTTGAGGTGCGGCGACTTTTATGCTGTAGATGAGAAATTTAGCCAGCGCAGCACCACTGCTAGACCAAGGTCTTTCACCTTGCAGTAGTGACATAAAACCGCATGCCTGTACGATGCTCGCCCATATCAAAACGGGCAGGGTTAAGGATTGAACCCAAGATCCCCGGGTTCTGCAGTGCGAGCTTTTGCTCCACAGGCTCCGAGCAGCAATACACAAATGCACTCTGGCACCGGTCCCGCCCGAAAAGCCACCGTCGAAACTGGCAAAAAGCAGCCGGTGAGGCAGAGCCTCAGGGTAGACGGCATCACCGGTGTTCTCCCTGCAGAGCCAAGGTGACCGCCGACAAGTTAGTGTTGGTGCACGGCGCCAGCGGAGCGGTGGGCACTGCTGCGGTGCAAATCGCCAAGCACTTCAAGGCCAGGGTGGCAGGTACAGCCGGCACCCCCGCCGGCATGGACGTGGTGAAGCAGGCGGGAGCGGATCTTGTCGTCTGCCACAGGGACAAGGACTACCTCAAGTCCGTCATGGCAGGTGCCTTTTTGGGTTCTTCGGGATCCTTGGTGTGCGTGGCTGCACCTTAAAGATGATTTCCGACACCACATTTTGCCGCTTAGCATGGAACCATGGAACTATTGCTCAGCGAGTGACGGGGCCGAGAGAGTGTTTTGGACGGAAACAAAGATAAGCTCGCATTTGAGTGCGCCGGAGGGCGTGGCTGCCGCTTGTAACTGCTCGTGATGAGAGAGCGTACTTAAGCCCCTTCGTGCACTTGTGCTCGTCTTAAAGGCCGATGTACACTCCACGCTTTCCACTTTTTACCTTGCCCCAAGTTGGCTCCCCTTGCAGCTTAGGAAAGGGCAGCGCTTAGAGTATTATCTTCCCTGCAGAATACCCAGGTTGTATGTGGGCCTTTAAATGGTATCAAATGTGCCACTGCGTGAGGCCCGTACCTGATGCAACCCTTGGAAGCAAACGGCGACGTTGCACCAAAACGAGCAGTCCTTGGAAGCGAATGGTAGTGGCGCACTCACTTGTGGCACGTGTCGAGTGCGTTCGCACAGCAATGGTTGGCTGTACTCGTAAGAAACGCAAAGCGTGGATTCTATAAAGGGCCTTTAAACACATCGGCACACTGATGCCATCAGGCAACCCTGCGACACTTCCAATGCGTGTGCATATGTTCAAATTTTCCCTACATCTCTCTTTTTACTTACGCTTGCAATAATTCTGACAATGTTATTTAAGCAACAATTTCTCTGCATAGATTTAGTTGTGCACGGGTCGGAAGTGCTGCACGTTGTTTTCTCCTTCATACGTGTACATTGTGGGTGTGTAGCAGTCGTCTTGCATGCCGTGAGTGATGGATGGGGCCAGCGTATGCTCTCGTAACTTGTCACAAGCGGGTGCGATGCACTCAGGTACATACTCTCAAATGCAAATGTGCGAACCATTTTAAGTGTTTGGACACACAGAGCGCCACTTGCTAACATATGGCATACTTTGTATTGATCGCTCCTCTACGGGACGTGTAAGAAAGCGTACCTGCGAGGATATTTCATGGAGCACGTGTTGGCGTAGTCTGGAGAACAGAAAATCTAGGGGGGAATGCAGATAATCTAGAAAAATAGGATTATTTAAGTGCATTTACCCCAAGACAGATTCTAGCAAAACAATCGGTCAGCCTCGCTCAGAGCGAGGAAATCCCTAAATCGGGGAAAATATCAAACAAAGGTCCTGTGAAGAGAAACAAAACGTCATTGACCGAAGACCCTTGAGTTAGCAAACATGCACCCCATTGGACACTCAATACGGAAGAAGAAAAAAAAAATTGTTTTCCCACTTGGTTGGATTTCAGAAGTGGACCAATGACCGTGGCGTGGACATCATCCTGGAGATGCTGGCCAACGTCAACTTGCCCGTAGACTTCAACACGATTGGACAGAATGGCCTCATCCTGGTGAGCTGGAGGTGCAGCCTGATGGCCCTTGGCCAACGAAAAAAACTGTGAATGTGTTTTTTCCGGAGGCTATCTTTATCTAGTGCCCATAGATGGAGCTGTGTGGGCAGCAGATATAAAGCAACTACCATAAAATCCCGCATTGACGCCCTCCCTCGAGATATCGTCCATTTTGTTTTTCTGGCTGAACTCATACTAGGTTAAAAAGTCAGAAACATCACCCACTCCCGATTCCCATCGGTCATCATGCAATGCTAGATGGGAATTGCATCAACTGCGTGATCTGCAGTATCAGTTGCCATGGCAAGTGACTTTGTAGCCCCACGTGTTTATCACACCTTGAAATGTGAATCTGCAGTGTCCGCAAGCTCCGGTAGCGGTTCCTACCGTAGAGTTTTCACGTGTTTATCGCACCATGAAGCTCAAGCTTTCCACGTCCACCAATTCTTTGCGGTATCGGTTTCTGTAACATGAATTCATAGCGAGTTCCCATGTGCTTATGCACCGTGGAATGGAACGGGAATTTGCCATGTCCACAATCTGCGGTATCAGCTCCTATGTCATGTGGTCATAGCTAATGCCCCCCCCATTTATCAATAATTATTTTTATAAAAGCTCCGCCGTTGAGTCTTCAAAGGTCATCCACCCTATATTTGTCACCATTTATATTTTCACAATGGGCGAGTGTTTTCACTGGGACTTTACGGTAAATGACAAAATCAAATTTGCATTAATTTTTCTTCTGCTGCTCTCGTTGGTAAAGAAGGAGTCACGGCTACAAAAATTGATCTAAGATACTTTTAAAAAAGTGGCCTTGTGAAGTGCCGAGTTTTGGCAGGAACCGTTTTTAATTTTCGGGAATTTCGCAGAATCCCCTCACAAAATCAAATTTTAAAATCAACAGAATGGCAGCAAAATTTGAAAAAATCCAGTGCTGCCATCTGTCGGCAGAGTTGCAAACTAAGTCATGAGCGTGCCTGGTTTGTCCAAAACAGTCAAGTGCGTGAACCTGGGAGAGCAGACGAGCTATGCTCGTCCTGAGACGGTTCCACATTAACGGATGGCTCCATGTTGAGGACGCTTGCCCAAAACAGTTAAGGAGTTATAGTAAAATCGTGAAAGCTTCTTTAAGATGGACACCCAAAAGCAGATCCAGCATATCAGAGCATTTGTGGTGCCATCTGTGAATAGCAACATCAACCAGACTGTTTTCACCTTTTCTTCCTGTGTAGGAAAAAAAAAAAAAAGAAAAGGGATTTTTTATGTTTACATTTTTTCCCCTCAATCCCATATGCGTGAAATTTTAGTATAAGTGCACCACCTAAGGGCATCTTTGCAAAAAGATTGAATGCGCTCCGATTATCGGTTTATTTATTTTAAAAAATGTTTTACACCCGAATAGCACACTGCGCTGGCACTCAGCAGAACGTAACTCGCATCCGCAGGTGATTGGAAGCCGGGGCGATGTGAAGGTGAATCCCTGCTGCCTGATGGGGAAGGAGTCTGCGGTCATGGGGATCGCACTCATGAAGGCAACGCCGGTGAGCCACGCTTGCATCTATCACTGACCTTCAGCTTGATTACACGCAGTCGCCGTATTGAAGCCATTGACCTCGGCGGCGCGACGCAATTCTTGAACGGACAAAGCTTTAGGGCTTTGGTACCCTGGGAGGATTCGGTGGCTCTATAGTTGGTGGCAGGCCAAAGGCTAATTCACGGACTTTGATCGTGTTCGCACACCTTTGACCTAATTACGACATGGGAACACACTACCACACTCTGTCGGGTAGCCCACACACAATGCTTAGCTTTTCCGTATAATTACTTTTGTTTTTTCCACAATTCTTTTTTTTTTAGTTAGAAAAACCTTGGACAATGTTGTAAAGGACCATTTCTTGTAGATGGTACATAGGTTTGATTTCGCAAGTACCGTGAAACCATCGCAGTGCTGTCCCCCTCGTCGAAAGAGATCTTTCGGACACCGGAAGAGAAGCGGCGTCCCGTTCTTTCCGCAGGAGGAATGGCAAGCCATGGCAGAGAACGTTGCGCGGGGCGCGGAAGAAGGCTGGATCAAGCCAGTCATGGACCGCGTTTATCCGCTGGGAGGGGCCAAGGCCGCCCACCACGACCTCATCAATAGAAAGGGGGCCAAGGGGAAAGTCACGCTCGACCCGGACCAGTGAACACCTCCCCACATGGCAGGCGTAAATTTCTTGCGTGCCACGTTTCGTAAATAAACTTACGAGCTCGGATGCTGGTGTCGCGGGCCTCTTGCAGGTTCAAGCATTCGCGACTGCTCACAACCATGTTCCTTGGAACCTCTTCAAACTATTCACTGCAAGAGAAGACACTAGTGCCACCTGTTGGGTACACTTTGTTTCTGTACATTTCTTTTTTTCTTCTCATTTACCCTCCATTCTACTCTGGCTCGAAAACGTTTAACAGCATTATAAACCACCATTTCTTGTAGATGGTACATACATTCGATCTCGCAAATACCGGAAAACCTTCGCTCTAGTGAAATGCTCTTCCAGGGTCGCCTCATAGAGGGCGCCAGCACGTCTGCTCGTCGTAAGAATAACCGCTCGGTCCTAAGAAGGAAACGCAAGTGTGCGGACGGGCGCCACTCGCATCTGCACTAGTGTTGCCGAATTGTGGGAAATCTTTCATTGTGGGAAAAAGCATGACAGCTAGGGAAAAAGGGAAAACAGAATTTAAACACATGTAAAAGGTGGGAAATATTTCTTAATAAGAAACTAACCTGAAACGTCGTTTTCTTATCTACATCGAACAAGAGAAAGGAAGTGGCACTAGCTACTCAGACATTTTGTTGTTTTGAAGAGCCAATCTAATTCACTACAACATACATCATCATGCACGTGCTGCCAGCCTGCTGATACAGTGCTGCCTTTTTGTGCGTTTTCCTCATAGCTAGCTACGCACATACATCCTCTGTCAGTGAGATAAGTCATGCATCTCTCTGTGGGTGGCGTTCCTTTCACATCACGAACACAAGCAGGTGATTTTAGTTTAGTTTAATTAATGACCCACTTGCCTTCATGTAGTTCCCCTGCTTCATTCAACCAATGTAGAGTGCAGAAAAGAGGGGAGGGGAACAGTTTGCCGAATGACAACTTCTGCATTTCGTAATTTACGAGATGCAAATTTCTACAAAACAAAAACGTGAGGTGGTGCTATATCTAAAGGTACTTGGCATCGTGCGTACGATATCTTAAAAACGACTTCTGCCACTAAAATGGTGATGGACGCAGGAAAAACCTTTGTGCCAATGCGGCAACACTGATCTGCACTGCCTCTCTTGAAACCTGCACTTGCTTCAACAGTTCCAAACACGAAAATCATGCATTTTAGCATCGTCTGTCACAAATCGAATCAGAGATACAAATAAAGTGCCACCGTCCCGAGGAACGGCCTCTCAAAGATGAGGAATGTTCGCAAAACTTGCAATTTTTTCAGCACCACGAGTCGGCGGAACAGGTTTTTCACATCCCTTCTAAATTCAAACTGTGCTTTTGCGTAATTCATACTTTTTGTTCTTCGAAGCCTGAAAAATCAGTCAGCGAGTGTACTAGTGCGTGCTGGAGGCCGACTGTTCGAAAGGGAGGCCCCGCCACTCTCGCCTCCTCGGTGATTATGGTAGAATCAAAACGTCTACAGTCGAAAATAAAAATAATGAGAGCATTATTGGGGTCCTCTTTTGGTGTTTATATTAAATTGGATTCACTCGCCAGAAAGACCATAGCAAGGCCACGGCCGCGTCGCCTCGACGGACTCGTCGAAGCAGGCACTCGAAGAGGCGGCGCTCTAAGCCTCGTGCACGACGTTGCGTCAATTGGGCTCTAAAATTTTGCCGAGCGTCCCAGGGTTTTCGCTCCTCTCGACGAGCAATGCAAGACCAGCAAGAACGGCGAAACACACGCTCGGTTTCCTCTAACCTTTAATTTCTCTTCTTCGCATCATTAGGAAAATAATTTACAGCCCCAGACAGAGCGGGGAAGTGGCGGCGACGGCAAGCAGACGACGTCGAGGTCGCAAAGAACCTAGCGGGGAAGCCGTCAGCTGCCGAGAGGCTCCGCCTTCGCGGTCCCTTTTAGCGTCGCGGACTCCGTACGTCCCTTGCGCTTGTCCGAGATGGAGCGGTGCGTCGACCCATCGGTGCAACAGACGGGGGAGGGCGCGTTTAGACACCCAGAAGGAATGGAGCTCTCAACTGTACGGTCAGAGTTGCATTATCTGGTTAGTTAGAGCCCGGAACGAGAGTGTGTTCAACTATGCGACTGGAGTCGCACGGTGTGTGGGCACCGTTACGCTACAGCTTCGCACCGCTAATACACTGTACAAAAGAAAGTGCAGACACTGTCTGAGTAGGGTGACCAGGTGTCCCTTCTTGGCCGGGACGGTTCCGTTTTAAAAGGTCCATTTCTGCCGTCCCGTTATCTTGGTCTAACAAAGCGTTGTGTCCTGTTTTCGTGAGAATCTGCATAGTACCGTTATATCCTGAACGTATACCAACCGCCCTCGAACTTTGGCCCACCACGCTTTTATGTCAAAGAAAATCCCGAAATATTGCCCACCTTCTCAAAATAGCAATTCCTAGGGACTGGGGACATCTGGGCAGACATTCCTTTTTAGAAGTCTCTAGGGACGCACGCATATATGCACCAAACAAGAAAGTTACGCAAGAGCCCGCTCCCTGTGATTGACAAGGTGCCCTACTTGACCCGAGGCCAAAGTATTTGCCAACGTGATTGCCGGCTTTCTTGCTTCCCCCAGCATTGCTCGCTTCTTTCGCCTACTTGCTCGCTGATTTCACCTGGTTGGCTTTCCTATTTTCTTGTTGACTTTTTTTTTTTTTTTGCCCTATCATTTTTTTAATCTACAAATCAGCAAAGGCTCAGGAGCCTAACAAGGGGAACATAGCGGTTTTAGAAACATGCTTTCACGAAACGAGTGTTTGCGCCGAATGCCGATCGGCGGTGTACATTGCCTGCATGCAAGCAACGGACTCGGCAGTACTAAAACATTCTTTCAAAAAGTCGGGTGGGCTAATCCCAAAGATTCACCCACCCGCCTTTTTTTTTTCCCCATACTGTCTCCCGTGAGAGGGTGGACATTCGTTCAGGATATTACGGTAGTTGCGAAATCAGTACTAAGTAAAGTGAATGGCAGAAAACCTAAAGAATGTTTACTTGTTACAGACCTAACGTCATGAAAACAAACAAAACACAATCCAGCTGCATCTGCTAATACACTTCAATAGCATAAACGTGCATTCAAGAGACTCTTGTATATTAGCGAATTTGATGTGCTTCGGTTGGCAATATTTCTTCCTCGTTAAAAATTGGAGAGGAGAAGCACTTGTGTTTGCCAAGGAAGAACTTTGGAAAAATGTGCGTGTTTAGGTTCATGTGCAGCAAAGCTTTTCTTTCTCCTCTTTACCCTGAGGACTATGGTCACCTCATGTCTCAGGCGTATGCACAAATACTGCCTGCAGACATGTCCAAAGCACACGTATGTATGAAGTAAACATGCTCCAACCGTGCTTGAGGCATGCCCACACACAATTCTTCGTCTGCTTCTTTTGCAGTGCGGGGGTTGTGGTGGATGTCAGAATGCCGAGCTCTGATTGAAGAACAGTGGGTAGACCTCGAGGCAACTTCCTTTGAGGTCTACCCACCATCCTTCAATCAGCTGTGCGTGCCTTGAGGTGTACCCCCTATCCTTCAATTAGAGCTCGACGTTCTGACGTCACCTCAACCCCTGCAAAAGTAGCAACCGAACTTGCGCTCCAGATTGTCTTGGTCAGTGCGCTGTGCTTAGCCTAGGCTGGCTCAAATGAGGTAAAATGAGGTTTGATTAGGCAAGAGAAAGTTGGGGCTGGCTCCATTCAACCGGGCTGACTCAGCCCAAATTCATTCAAAAGTGGCGTCGTTGCTGTTGGATTGAAAGCATATCTTCGAAATTCTACCTTGTGGCCCTCCAACTTGAGCACTCGATTTTCTTCTTTGAGGTGCCAGAGCATGAAGTGGTGGTTGACTTCGCTCGCCACTGTGGGGGCTAGCCACAAAGTCAATTGGTGCTACAAACACTGGAACAGTCTGGTCCAGATCATAGTAAAAACTGTATTTTGAGTCAGTCTCGATGCAATGCAGTGAAAAGGTGACCTATACTAGGCAGCACCTGGAGAACAGAACAAATTTTGCATTTAGTTCATACACTGTGTGAAGTAGTTCTTGCCCCAAACTTGGTTGCCAGAGGAAAATAAAAGATGCTTTTTGCATTTGAAGCAAATACATTTTGCTAAATAATACATAACATGTTAAATGCACATACAAGTATCTCCATTCTCCACACAAAGGGTGCAGTTACTAACACTGCAACGAGTTGGACTTTCCTTTTTTTTTTTTACTAAGGTTCGTATTCAGACATAACTAGAAAATAAAACTATTGCTAAAAAAAAAAAAAAAAAAAAAAAGATGTTTACAACTTCTAGTAACACCAATTTAGAGTGCAGCTCTTGAGGAGGAGAAGGGGAGGGTATGCCCCTCCTCTTCATCTGTACCCACTCGTCCTCCCTTCCTCCTCCTTTCACGGGCGTCGTCGTGCGACGTTTCGGCGCAGCGCATTATGGGACGTTCAACATAATGCACCGCGCGGTTACGCCGACGTCGCTCAAGCCGGAAACGAGTGCCTAAGAGCTGCGCGCTCTAAAAGAATCTGTTCCCATTGAGCACTTCACCCGTCTGTTCTTCAGATTCTCTAGTTCTTTGCTGTGTTACCACTACTAGTCAGTATGCATGGGACACTTTTCAGCCTAAGTGGCCATGAAATATATGAGCGTCAACCATAACCAATCTACAGAGAATTCAGCATGTGCTTTAACAAGCACCACTTGGTGACAACCGACATTGCAGTCTGCAGATAGTTTTAAACAGGTAGCCATCTTTAAAGGTATAACCTAGCATTCAACTTTGGCGATGATGCAGCACTTGCCAGTACAGTGCTGGTACCGCAGGGGTAAGTGGTTTCGGTGGTGCCATCTCATGTTTCGTACTTGAGACGCTGAAAGGATGTGTCGCTGCTTATGATCTTGGGTGACATGTTTCTGTTTGAGATCAACGTGGTGAGTGCAGACAGCACCGTCAAATCACTGAGCTTGTCCCAATACCGTACTTTCTGCCTTTCTTCAAAGTCATCTCACTGCGACCGCAGACAGAGCTAGACTCGGCGCCAAGAGCGCTTCTATCGCCAGCATAGGACCTCATGAAATTAATCTCGCTACGGCGAGTTACCTCACATTTCTAGGTAAGAAGCATCAGCGGGAAGAGGTGAGAATACAAAGCTAAATAAGCGCTGAATTCGGCGCAGGTTAAAGCACTCATTCAGCACCGTGCTGCATGTGGGAACAGGCCCAGCTGCCGGTCCGCACTTCGCCGGTAAGTACTACTGAACTTACCAAGTTGTTTGCCATCAGAACTGAGGTGTACGTCCGTGACATGCCCCTTGAATCCCCGGAACTCGCGTTCAACCGCTGGTTCTATCTGAAAGGGCAATAAATAAGCAAATAAAAAAGGTTCTAAGAACTTTAACGCTGGAAATTTCCAACGGTTCACGCGGTGCATTTGCCGACTTATATTAACAAAAAAGAAAAAAAAGTTTTTTTGCTGTGTTGTACAAAACAAGAATAGATCGCTTTGTCAGTACACCGGTAACATACAAAAGCAGCAGATTGTACAGGAAACGTGAAAAAAAACGGCACGAAAGCCTAAGAACTAAATCGACTAAATTATTACCGTTCAAAACTACCGGCTTCGTACACATTTGCAGAAAGGCTGAGCTTGCCTTGGCTTCGGATGTCGAGTAATAAGTGACATTGTCAGCCAGAGACATTAAGAAAACGCATTATTTATATTTAACTAACACTTGTAAACTTTATTTTGAACTAAACTACTTATTGTGCGTTGAAACTACAAATTTTTTAATTTCCCTTTTGTTTGATTTTGCGTGTGCAAGCTTCTCACAACGCACGCTAGAGGCCGCAAACGTAATTTTTGATTTTTACAAAGCAGCTGTTTTGTTAGTTTTTTTTGTTTTTGTTTTTTTGCTCAGCATTATCTCTGTGTTTAAAATGATATATTTCGTTTTATTAGCCTCGTTGGCCTCGTTCTGCTCAGCGTTGCACCAACTGGATGCCTATTACCCGAGCAGCTGCAAGCATGTCGGTAATGCGAGCGGTCCAGGTGAACAAATTCGGCGGTCCTCAAGTGCTCCAAGAATGCAATGTGCCGATTCCGAAAGTGACTCCAGGGAAGGTGCGCTTCTTTTCGCAATTGATCGTTAGAAAGCAGACGACCGAGTTCGTCTTCTGCTTGGTCCTCTGTAATCGCTGCACTGCTTGAGAATCGAAAGAAAGGCGTGGCACTGCCCAGTACGTGTTGAAGTATCATGTTTTTCTCTTTACCATCTTGTTTCCTTTCAAAAGTATCCACTGCAGTATTATATGTCTCGACCTAATGTAAAAATGACCAAGGTTCGTGCGTGTTGTATACATTTGCTTTTTCTTTGACAATGACCTTTTCTTTTTTTGCTGGAGTTAGCTGGTTTAGGAACTGTTTCACTGTCGACAGCGTTGTAGTGCATTTAATTTCTGAACAAACAGACACAAGAAGCCAAGCTGTATATTTTATTGGCCCCCCCCCCCCCCCCCCCCCCCCCTTTTCCATTTAAACCATATATGTACAGGGTTTTAGACGAGCACTCGAAGTCAAGGACAAAAGGAGAACTGGACACCACTGTGCTATTTTAGTGGTTCCTGCTAAAGCTCAGCAAGTTTCTAATTGGAACTGTAGGTTTATTTTCACTAATTAAAGAGTTGATTATCAAATTTTAGTTAATTATCCGACTTATCAGAAAGATTAGCCCACTATGCTATGTCCCCCTGGCCATACAACTCACCTGCACAGTCTCCATTAGTGTACCTTTCACAACATTTTTGAAATAAATTTATTGAAAATCAAGCAGCCTGTACAGGTTCCGTCAAAGTAAAACGGAGCGCCGGATCGGCGACCGAACTGCATCGCCGCGCTATCTAGCAGCTCCGGCTGGAACTGATAGGCTACATCTGCGCATGCGAACGTGCCTTCCGCTGGGGCCTTCGTTTTCTTCTTCCCACCCACACGTTATCGGTGGTTCGAGCGGCGCAACGCTGTTACTAAAATCGACACCTGATAGCTCAAGGGGCGGTGCTCAACGACAACACTCGCCCCTCTCTCCCACTTGCCTTCAGTGTTATCTCCCCGTGCGAGCCCGAGCCGAACACCTAGCAGTGTTTATAGGAACAGCGCTTGGCAGTTCGAGACGCCAATAATGCGAAGATCAAACAAGAAAGACGGAGGACACCGCAAACGGCACGCGCGGATGCGCAGACGGCACCTATCAGTTGCAGCCGGCGCTGCTAGATAGCGCGGCGATGCATTTCGGTCGCCGCTCCGGCGCCTCGTTTTACTTTGACGGGACCTGTACATTGGTGACCCCTCCGACATAAAATAACAGTTGATGCTGCTCTTATTCCACAGCTGGGACATCACGCGCTACAGAATGAGAAAATTGTCGCTATGTCTACCAGGCATTTACCGTGATGCTCTTAGAGCTGAATCGAACATCTGGATTCTGAGTGCAACTGCCTGCTTTATAACTAGGGCTCCGTGTTTTTGGTAAATACTGATAGACCTCGAAAGTTAACCCCCGAACCCGTTTTAAGCGTTTCGGGAAACAGAAACGCCCCGAATCGAAGCTGTTTTCGATTAACAGTAGCCCAAGCTTCACGGGAATATAAATTTATCTTGAGCTTTATTTAATGCCTATACGGAACACAGCCCCACACCAAATTTTCCCCATGTCCGGTTTTTTCTTCTGAGCCACGTCCAATGTCCTGTTTCCTTCACTTGCCAATATTGGAAAGTTTTTCCAATATTTGGGTGGGTCACTCACATGTTACCTGGAGGTCGGAGAATCCAAGATCCCCTTGTCTGTTTCTTTTCAACCCCCGATAAAGAGCCATTTTTTTGTTCAAAGTCACTTATTGACACTGAGAAACACCGAATTACGGGGACTAAATGAACCCCGAAGAAACATCCCCAAATTCTATGAAGAATGAGCCCCATAAACATAAAAACCAATTTGTGACTGTGTGGAGGGCGAGTCGTCTGCTTCTTGCGGAGGAGTTGCGGTGACATCACAACGACGCCAAGTTCCCCAGGCGAAAATTTTCAACTGGGACCAGTTGGTCTCAGTTGCAACTGGTTTATGGAACAATTCCCAGTTGCAACTGGTCCCAGTTGGAGCCGTCCAACTGGGACCAGTTGGTCCCAGTTGCAACTGGTTTATGGAACAATTCCCAGTTGCAACTGGTCCCAGTTGGAGTTGGTCCCAGCTGGAATTGGTCCCAGTTACAACTGGTCCCAGTTGGAGTTGGTACCAACTCCAGCAACAATGAAACACGGCACAAAATGGAAGGTTGACAAGACTTTATTGTCAAAAACTTGGAGAATGAAACTAAATAGGTTCGGTGACGTATACGCTCCGGGTTTAGCCACTTGTTTGCGACGGTTGAATCGCTTTTTCAGAGGTGGTATTCATGAGATGAAGGAAGATCGGCCGCTGGCGTCTGTAGTGAAGACGTCCTCAGCTTCTCTTCCCATCGCGTGAAGAAAGGTGCTCACCCGTGATCCTGCGTTGCGCAGGTGAAGTCCTGATAAGATGCGGTAGCGCTCCCACCTTGCAATCTCTGTCACAACAGTCGAACATTTTCGAGGTAGACCTCCCGCCATTTTCGCCATTGTGCTCTCCGCGGCGTGTTCTCTTCCGTCCAGGCTATGTGCGTCCGGTCTTTCCTGGATGTCCTCCGATCGCTGACTGCATCTTTCCATCCTCGAAGTTCACCGCCGCCACCGTAGTGTGTGTACAGTTGGGTCCAAAGAAGCGCAGCTGTAGTTTTGACATTTTCATAACGACGCCAACTTGGGCGATGGCGACCGCGACCCTTCTCTACCGCGTATGTCCGACTCAGGGTTGCCAGATAGTTTCTTGCTGAAACCGCCAAAAACCATACGGTGTAGCCCAAAAGTAGCCAAATGCAAGAGATTTATGTAGCCCAAAAGTAGCCATATTCGGCATAGCCCCAAAAATTGTTCGCTTGAATGTGCGAGCTCAATTCGAAGTCACTGCGTCTGCATAATTAGGGTTTAGGAGCAGCTTGCAAGATCTACATCTTGAAATGCATTGAACGTTTTATTTCAAACAATAGAAGTACAAAAATTTTCCACACGCGTTTTTGCAGTCACATAGTTATGAAGCACACGCACGTGCCCGGCTTACCCGCCTCTTACATGATTTCCGTGTTAAAACGGGCAAAAACTTCTTCAGTAGGGTTGATGTCCTTCCAGAACTCGTTCTCCCCAAAGAAAGCAAACTTTACATGGAGGATGTTTTGAAGAGTTGGAAGGGACATGTTCTACCTTAGGACTGACTTTGTGAGGGACACGTGACTCAATAGTCTCTCCACGGCGGCATTCGACATGGGCAGTGTCGGGAGCCCGATGGCACGCTCGGATAGCAACGGAAACCGGGCTGCTCCCGCATGCGCATTGATCTTGGCCTTGTTCGGAATATTCATTGTCCCTAATTTGTTGTCTTTTGTTATGGCTCATTGTGCTTTCAGAAACTTTCATGTTTCGCGGAAAAGCCTTCTTTGTTATGTCCGGCACAGCACGCGTTATTGGGCGACATCAAATTCTGCAGGATGTCTTGAGTTAACTTTAGTATCGTTTTTCCACGGATGATGTGCTTTCTGTAGGAGGATGGTGGGAAATTTGAGGAAATAAGAGACGCCAGTAGGAAGCAGAAAGAACTTGGGAGCACAAAATAAGCCACAATTACTACAAAAGCGATGTCGTCGGAGCTGAATCTAGATCACGGTAGCTCACTTGAGCTAATAGGTTCTAGCATCACGCCTACATATTTTCATGCAGAAAATCCCTGAAAGCAGGAATCCAGAAAGGGTGGACTGTCGCTTTGTGTCCATGCTGAAGTGTCTTTTGTACAACTACTTTAGACCAAGCAAAAAAAAAAAGTTCCGCGTTAGGATTTGAAATAGCCCAAAAATAGCCACATAGCCAACCGCCAATTTTCGACGCCAAATACATGACAAAGTAGCCCAATTTGGCTATTAATAGCCCAACCTGGCAACCCTGGTCCGACTCCGGCGTCGCCGGCGTCAGCATAGGCAGCGCCATCTGTCGACAGCGCGTACCACTAATCCGCACCCGCGTGCCACGGCGGCCGGCTGGCTAGCTCTGATTAGTCAAAAGATAAATTTATTTATTAAAAGAAAAAAAAATACTGTAGGTATTTAAATAAATGTTTTAATATATTTTAATAATGCACTAAATGTTCATTTAGGTGAACACATTTTGTCACTAATTATATTTTCCAATTAAAAAATTATTTAGTTAATTAAAATTTTTATATTATTTTTATAAATATATAAATGTACCCCAGTAATTAAAAATCCCTATTTGTATAAATCTAAAAAAAATGATAGTGTTTTTAGTTTTCTTCATTAGCAAAGGTCAATACACCCCCAACTTGTAACTGGGAACGGGAAAGGCATTCGAAGTCCGACTGGGAATCGCTCCAACCAGTTACTTTCCTAACTGGTTCCAGTGCACTCCATTCCCAACTGGGAGTCAAACCAGTTGACCCAACTGGGAATGGTTCAAACCAGTTGACTCCCAACTGGGAATGGTTCAAACCAGTTGACCCTTCAGCTGGCCCCAGTTGGACTCCTATTGGTCCCAGTTGATTCCCAGTTGGGACCAGTTAGTCCCAGTTGATTCCCAGTTGGGACCAGTTAGTCCCAGTTGGGACCAGTTAGTCCCAGTTGAAACCAGTTGAGGTGCCAACTGGTCCCAGTTAGAAATTTTCGCCTGGGTCTGTTTGGCTTTGATTGAAAGGATAGTGGGTAGACCTGAATGTTAGATGCCTGTAGATCTACCCACTACTTTTTTAAATCAGCCAATAAGAGCTCGGCGTTCTGCGACATCATTGCAATGCCTGTGCAAGGAGCAGACAACTTCTGTTTCCCCACTCTCCAGGGTTAAGGAATGTCATTGACACACTTGGCCGCCGATTGTCGCCCAGGTGCTCGTCCGCGTGAAGGCGGCCGGCGTGAACCCGATCGACACCTACATCCGGGAAGGCACCTTTCCTGTGAGCTTCCAGCTGCCCTACACTCCGGGCAAGGACGGGGCCGGCCTGGTCGAGGAAGTGGGCCCGGGAGACACCCCCCTGAAGGCACGTTGCAACGTTTGTCGGTTTTAGGGTGTTCACACGATTAACGTGCTGCAGGGATTTAAAAGGCTGGTTGTATTTGGTTTCCCATGTGTTGTGCAGCCCTGTGCTCGCCTAATAGTGCTAGTAGTGGAATCCACTTTATTAAGAGAAAGAAAAGCAATGTAGCTTGACTAGAGTCATGTCTTATCTGGTGGGGAAGGGATATGAGCAGTGGGGTGAGATTATTTGTGTTGTGTCAGGTCTACTGACCTGACATAGTTAAAGGGCAACTCCGGTTCATACTTTCGATTTTGGGATTATGACTGTTTTTAGTGCAGTCAGCGTCCCTGAATTGCAAGGTGTAATTTTTTTTTTCATTATTGTGCATAGTTTTAAAGATATTGACGCCTCAAAGTTTTGTTTGGGGCACGGCCAACAAAACCGAAACTAGCTGCTCGAGGCCCCGGCAACACTGGAAATTAGCCGCTATGTGAACGTGACGTCAGGATCGTTCTGGTTCAACGAGTACGCAGGCCGAGCGGCACCTACCTCTGTTGCGCTAGCCGTCTGAAGATAGGAGGTAAGCTGATTTTGTTTTAATTCTGTATATGTGCTAGTTATCCAGCATATGTAGCAAGAGTTTGTGCGTATACCCAAAAGCTAGCGACTGAAAAACCCGTGAACTCGTACGGTACCGTACCCGGCGGCCGCCGCCGTGCGTGCGCTATGCCGTACTTGTCGCTTGTATGCCCAAAAGCTAGCGACTGGAAAACGAGTTAGCTCGTTTGGTGCCGTGCTCGGTGGCTGTCGCCATGTGTGCGGTCTTCCGTACTCATCGCTAGGCCTAAATTGTCATTGGGGCTCCATGAATGGAGCGGCGTTGCTCGATCTACTCCGCGCTGCCAGTGATGTACAGTACTGGGGGCCCTCTCGCTTTCGCACTGCAGGTCAGTGCCAGACACGAAGCTTTGAGGCTCTCCGGCGCGGGCCACAGCGCCCGAACACACGTGTGCTGGGCTGTACACGTCTGTTTTTTGTTTTTTTTTGGCGCATAAAAGTCGAAGTCCAAAGTCTACTCGTCGAACAGCGTTCACCCACACCTTCTCCGATTTCTGGTCCGTTGGAAACTTGTGAAAAAGCACCTCCGTGTTGCGCAGCGGGTTGCTTGAGCAGCTCACAGTGCTACAAGCTGCACGCGGCATCTTTCGAGGAACAGCTGGGCAGCCTTGGGCGCTCCGAGTTGCTCGCTAAAATGAGTCTTGGAGTCCTCACAAGGCGAATAAACAAAAGGCTATACCGAAGCTACACGGGCTACAGATAAAAGCAACGGCTAAACACGCCATTCACAAGCCGAAGTAGCAGTGGTAGCGGCTCAAAGAAGCGCACTCCGCGCAACGTTTGGACCGGAGGGAAAAAAAGAGAACGATACTGACGTCACGGTGCAATGTTGCTTTAGTGATCGGCAACCCGCTGGCCGCCCGCTAAGGAGCAGCGGCTCGCGGCGGGCAGCATTTTTATTGTCGGCATTAGTTGAGAATGCGGCGTCCCCCGGACGTAATATTTTGGCTGGGGTCGTATTTTGTGTCGCTTCAGCGATACCAGTAATTTATTTCATTTCGAGTTTTGGCTGGAGTTGCCCTTTAAGGAGCGACTCCATGAACAGCTTTCTTTGTTGTGGTTCTTGTTCCTGTGGAATTCTGTGTACCCTAGGGCCTTGTGCTCACTTACGACGAGAGAAAACCACTGGGTTCTATTGAGAGCACTTGATAGATAGTGATAGCACATACATTTTTGATCTCGCAAGTGTAGTGCACAACCTTCACAATAATTAAATTCAGTTTCAGGCCGTTACCTCATGGATGGCACAGTCTGATCTCCCGTTGTAAGGCTGCACAACACACTTGGTTGTAGCCAAACACAACCGGCCTTAAAAGTCTGCAAATTGTCGTCATGCTTACAGGCAGTGGCAACGTGAGCTGGACTAGAGTCACTACAGTATGACCTCATTACGACAGATCTGGTTGCAGCAGACAGTCGGTTGTAACATACCGGTTTGTCAAGTTTGGTTGGTTTTGCTATCTACGTTGTTGAGCCAACTTCACTTATTACAGATTCTGTTATATCATACATTTGGATATAATGGACTATGTTAGGAAGTTTATAAGTGGTTCACCATTCTATTATGGTGGACTCTTCAACAGCAGCCATTATTTCGAACGTTACGTGGCTTTGGTATGGTGGTGATGGCATCCATTTTGCGAAGTGCCGTCATCGCGCACGTCACCTCTCGAGCCTTTTACGACCCAAAAGCATGCAGTGATGACGATCATCGGTACAGCTCTATAAAAAATCACTACGTTTTTCTTAATTCGAAAGTGTTAAAAATCTGTTTGTTTTTTTCTATTCGCATTTTGTCAGCCTCACTGGTTAGAATGGACTCCAGTCATAATCAACCTCAAAGTCTGTAGTGAGAGTATCTGCATTCTGCATACTCCTTTTACAACAGACCGAAATCGTAATTATACTACAAAGGTCTGTATAATGTGTTTACTCTGTAAATAGTATGGTTCAAGTACCACTTCATTCCCTGAGTATTTCTTGTGGGCGCCGCCATTTTGACACTTAGTTTAGGCCAGGTGCGATTGGCAATTAATTGTTACGATGTGAAAGTGCGTCCCCTTCTCAAGCTTTACACTACCGTGTCCGGACGCTCGGGTGACATTGTCGTGCCTTTTCGCGGACTGTGCGTTAGCATACCTGAACGACTGAAAGCCGTTTCCTGGGATTTCAGGTTAAAACTTGAGATAACTGTCAACAGGGACTTTAGGCACCAAGATGGCTGAGGTACGTGGAATCACTTTGAAGTGTAGCTTATAATATATTTAGTGGCTCTGAGCTGGACTATTGGTGTTCAGGCCGGAAAAGCACAACAAGCGCCAGGGGTTCTCAAATGGGGGTCCGCAAAGTCCTGCCTCATCAGTCAAGCACAGCAATAGAAGTTTTTCTTTTTGGATTGAGAAGAATCATTCCAATTTTTTGGGTGAGTTTTCTCGTATGTATGTCAATGAGAGAAGTCTGCTTCACACTAGCCCTTAGTTATATACCCATTTATGAACTTATTATCATAATTAACCTATACTTTCCCCTCACTACCGAATGGGGTCCTCCATCATATTCGGCGATTCACAAGAAGTCCGCCAACATCAATGGTTGAGAATCACTGGTTTAAGGTATTAAAAGGGAGGTTGGAATGGACTACCATATATCCTATTGTTGCAACATGTCAGTCAATTTCTTACCTTGGCATGCCGGAGGTGCCCCACGTGGCGTTTGAACCATTTTGGCTGGCATTAAACTGGGCCAGCTCATGTCGTCACCGACTCTACCTGTTCGATCTAAAAAAAAGTTAGAAACACAAATTTTTGAGTTTGGGTCCAGCTCAAAATGGTTGAGCAACCCCAACAACCCGGGAGACGTTTGAAACAGCAGTAGCCAATCAAGGATACATTATTCTCACATAACAACCCTCCATTGTGGTGATGATAACTGATCATGATTGGTTTAACTCGGTTTGCACTGGATCGTTTTCGCAACCAGATGGTTTTGGGGAGAAGCTTATAGATAACAGGTTCAGTGAGCATGTGGTTTCTGCTATCCTGTCAGATTGCAGGTGAACGGATTTTGGTCACCGACAGGGCTTGATGGTCCATAAAAAAAAAAGTGAAAGCCGTTTACAACTCCCTGTAACACCGAATTAGAGCGCAGCTCTTGAGGAGGAGGAGGGAAGGGTACTGGGGGGGGTGAAGTGACCTGGGGGGGGGGGGGGTCACGTGACCTTGGGGGGGTCACGTGACGATGCCGATGATGTCATCAGTGACGTCACTGATGACGTCATCAGTGACGTCACTGATGACCTCACCGGCATCCGCATCGTCATCGTCATCATCACTGATGACGTCATCAGTGACGTCCCTGATGACCTCACCGGCATCCGCATCGTCATCGTCATCATCACTGATGACGTCATCAGTGACGTCACCGATGACGTCATCAGTGATGATGACGATGACGATGCGGATGCCGGTGACGTCATCAGTGACGATGACGTCATCGGGGAGGTCACGTGACCTCGGCGGGGGTCACGTGACCTGGGGGGTGTCACGTGACCTCGGGGGGGTCACGTGACCTCGGGGGGTCACGTGACATCAGGGGGGGGTCACGTGACTTTGGGTGTCACGTGACCTTGGGGGTGACGTGACCCTGGGGGAGGGGTCACGTGACCTCTGGGGGTCACGTGACCTTGGGGTGACCTTGGGGGGTCGCGTGACCTTGGGGGGCCACGTGACCTCGGGATGACCTTGGTTACGCCGACGGCGACGCCGACGCCGCTCAAGCCGGGAACGGGCCCCTAAGAGCTGCGCTCTAAAAATGAAAGCCGTTTACAACTCCCTATAACTCCGAATTAGAGCGCAGCTCTTGAGGAGAAGGATGGAGGGGGTACTGAGGGGAGGGTATCCCCCTCCTCCTACCTCCTCACCTTGTCATCCTGCCTGCTACTCCTCTCCTCCTCCTCCTTCACCCCCCCCCCCCCCCCATAGCACCCGAGGTCACGTGACCCTGTGACGTCGCGGGGATCACGTGACCTCACGGTTACGCCGACGCCACTCAAGCCGGAAACGGGTGCCTAAGAGCTGTGCTGTAAAAGCATATACTTCAGTTATGCTCCACTTGACAGTTACAAATCAGATACCAAACCTACCACAAGCTGGCATACTTCTACCTCACAAGTTGCATGCTGATCGATGAGTGACATTTGCTAGAGCATAGCACCCACTTTCGGAAGGGAACAGTTTGCCCTCCTAGGACTCACCATCGTGTGCCCCATTGTCACTTTTGAAACCATCGGGGATTCTCTTGTCCCCAATAAATTCGCACTAGAGGGACTTAGTGTCGTGTTCCAGTGCGGCACAACGGCAGGGACGTCATCATTGTACAGCCGCCATCAGACAAATGATGTTTATTGTCAGGGCGCAAGGACCCCGCTCGAAAAAGACAGGTGGCATTTAGTGGCCGAGAATTATAGGTTTGACAATGAAAAAAAGAAGCGAAAATACAACATTCCCCCTGCCCCTCCCCCCTCCCCCCTTTTCCGGTTAAGAAAAGAAGAGAAAGAGAAAAGAAGAAAAAAATAGACACAAAGGAAACACAATACAAATTACATAGCAGTGAATACAATATACAAAGTATGATAGACAAGAGAGAATAAATGTACAATGAGCTCAATTAGAATCGGCACGGTTTGTACATAATAATATACACGTAGTAATTACAAGCTTCGTACACCAATTTGCACACAGAAAAAATATGAAACGTCATAAACATTATAGCATTTGTAAATCGCAAATAAATTCCGAGCTCGGTTCTAAGGATCTATTGGATACGCATGTGACCAAAAGCAATAAACAATCGCACACAGTGACATGTACAACATTCACACTGCATCTCCGAATCTCACAGGTTTCCGCCGCTCGCGTCTAGAGCGTCTAATATTCTCGTTTGCTGGCGCTATTGCGGCGGTGTTAGATGCAGCCGCTGCACCTACATTCAACTTCACCATCCTGTTACCGGTGGATCTTTGACCGAAAGTGTCGTGATCACCATTAGGCTGGACCGGTGGACTTCGTGCAACAACGCCTGAGGGCGTACACTGATTAGGAATCTGACAGGCATCCATGACAGGAGGCAGTTCAGGAGCCCAGTGAACAGTCAGGCTTCCTGATGGTCGATATTGTGACGTGTTTGAGGGTGTCGACTGTTTCTCGGGTGGAACGACAGCAACAAGTTGGACGCGTTCCAGGCTCTTCCGTCCTCCAGGTGGAATGTCTAACGTCCAACTCTTTCTAATATTTTCAATGGCTTGCTGAACTTGGACTTATCGTAGCTCGTTTTCTTTGGAAGCCAGTAGTGAACGAACTGGCAAACAACAAATGCCGGTCGTTTGGCTCCTCGTCGCTGGTCAGTGTATTTCTTGCTGGACTGTTGCCGTTGGCATACTCATTCTTGTAGACATTTCATCTCCTTCACTGGGTTGCGGAGAAATTCCCGAGGTGACAGACCCAGGATATGGATGTGCGTCTTCGGTTTCTTTCCGTGGAGGAGGAGTGCTGGCGACAGACCTGCTGTGGCATGTGGGGTACACCGGTACACCCCTAGGTAGTTGATGGAGGGGACTGCTTCTTGTAAACCACGCTTCTCAGCGGCAGCGAGCTGAATGAAGATTTTCAGTACTCGATTGAATCTTTCGACAAGCCCGTCGGCTTCCGGATAGTACACCGACGAGTACGCATGGTTTATGCCCCGGTCTTTTAGGAAGTCGTTAAGCTGTAATGACGTGAACTGTGGCTCATTATCTGACATGAGACAACCTGATAACCCTTTAAGCAAAACTGATGACAGAAATGTCATCACTTGAGAGGTTGTCATGTCATGGCAAAACTGAACCTCTGGCCATTTAGAAAAATAATCAACAAGAGTGATGGCATACCGGCATGCCGGCTCTGCGTGTTCAACACAACATCTTTTTGGCGACGAGGATGCTGAACGGTCCCTGCTGATCTCCAAGTTCGTCGGGGGCCTGCACGTCTTCGCTTCCCTTGGTCCGCTGACCTGCGATCCTGGTGCTGCTCAATTCTGGACTCAGCGCAATTAGGCCTTCCCGCAGCGTTCAGACATAGGCCTGACTTTGAGAACGTTGACGCAGCCTTCTGCTAGATCGGATCAGGACGTCAGATTGCCGCAAGCTAATCCGCTTTTAACGGAAGATGACTTTTTCGAACATCGCGCCGCCCAAGCCATTTCTGGATGTGCCTGGACGACTTCCGGTACCTTGGGACGAATGATACAGGCGGTTCCAGCGCTACATGGTTGCAGCCAGTGCTGCCGAGTTTTCTGCCATTCGCCATCAGTCAATCCCATCCTTGTCGCCAAAAAGATGTTGTGTCCCAGCGCGGGACAACGGCAGGGACGTCGTCACTGTACAGCTGCCATCAGACAAATGACGTTCATTATCAGGGCGCAAGGACCTCGCTTGAGAAAGAGAGAAAGACAAAGTGGCATCTAGTGGCCGAGAATTACAGATGTGACAATGAAAGAAGTGAGAGTACAACACTTAGTCCCTCTCCTGCCCGTGTTTCCTGCAACGCCAAACTTGTGCGAGAAACCATATCACCGTAAAATCTATAGGAGCCTTTATTCTAGAGAACTTGACTGGGGACAAGTTAATCTAGGGAACTGGTACAGGGACAAATCTTGTCATCTAAAGAACTTGTTTAGGGACAAATTCTTTAGATGCAATGGTTCCCATTGCATCTAGGGAACTGGTCCCTCAAAAATTTGCACAAAAAGGAAATCTTCCTTCTGCCAGTGGCTCCTGCAACACCGCACCGAACTTGAGAGGTGAACCATAGTACCATGAAACCTATGGCTGCCTGCCGTATGTCTCATGGTCCCCTTCGCACTTCAATAAATTTTACAGTTGCCGTTGCCCCAATGAACTTTTCCTTTCATCCCACGCTGCACTTCCGTGCAGAAAAGGAACTGGGGGCTTTTCTGTAGTCCGAACTTGCAAGATAAACCACAAAACCGTAAAATCTACGGGAGCGTCCCTTTTAATTTATGGCAGTCCCACCGCATCTACGGGAACTTTCTTTAAAATTTAGGCTTCCTGTCACCGTAACCCCTTTTCCCCTCAACCCCACACCCTGCTTACGTGCAGAAAGGGGACCGGGTGTTCTTCTGCAACAACGACGCAAGCAACGTGCACGGCTCATATGCCCAGTACAGCCTTCTTAAAGCCACCGACGTCTGGCTGCTGCCAGAGAAGATCAGCTTCCAGCAGGGGGCGTGCCTAGGCGTCCCCTACCTCACCGCCTACAGGGCCGTCGTGCTCAAGTGAGTTGTGCCACCCGAAGGCATCGTGAAACGCCTTCAAGATGCAGTTCCATACATCGTAGCTAAGGCACTGGGATGAGCATATTGAAGCATGAATGAGTTTGGCCAGAGACATTAGCGTCTATCAAGTATTATCATCATATATTAAAAAGTGCAACTTGCACCCTCTAGGACAGTGGTCTCAAACTCATTTGGGTGTAAGGCCCAGATATCCCACAGCGGAAAAGTCGAGGGCCAACGTAAGACTGGAAGGGATGGGGAGGGGGGGGGGGGGGGGGGGAGACTTCGTGCTTTATGCTTTCTTTGAACTCTTCTCACATCTTTAGAATTGATTTGTTTATATGACTACATTAGGCCCGACCTGATGTGATAACTAGAAATAAAATGACTCCACCCCGCTAACGTGCTGGCATTTTTAATAGAAGAAGTGAACAAGCAGACTGTTATTCCCTTTGCTCAATTCACTCAGGAATTAACCAAGCTCAGCATGTCTCTAAAAACGAGCAGTTAATTTGACAGGTCTTGCTTTTCTGACGATTTTTATAACCACACTCGAGCAAGTACTTGTTTTTTAATAGTGATATTTTTTGAAGGTGAGAATCCCGAGCTCGTAGCTTCACATTAAGCACTTGCTCCTGCTGATCGAGAGCTCACGCAACCGAGATGCATCCTTCAATGAATAGTTCCCGCTTGCAGCCCAGTAATGGAATTGTTGTACATTACGAAAAGCTGGGAAGCAGAAAATAAAGCGAAACAGAGGGCAAATGAACACAGATAAATATAAACTATGTGGATACCTTAAAAGAGCACAGCTACTTTTCGAGCGAAAATGAATCGACGAGATGACGTCACTATGGCGCATGCCATTCTTAGCGCTCAAGACACGGGAACTGGGACTCGCAGCCGGTTGCCTCGGGCCACGTCCCAGCGAGTGGCGGGCCGTGTGTTTGAGACCTCTGCTCTAGGCGATTGGTGTGCTGCTGCTGAAGCTACACGCTTAGTCCTGGTATCAGTTGTGACCTCTCCAAGACTAGCAGAATGCTCTATCGAGTGTACAAGCGACCTCACTATTGCAAAATTGCATGTAGAATCGCATCATGTGAATCAAGTGTTAGTCAGCCAAACATTGTCTTCAAGCAGTTCCAAACGGTGCCAACAAAGGCTTGAGAAATGTGTCAAATACAGCATGGTGACAGGGGTCAGAAAAGCTGCCCCCTTACTGCCAAGGTCACTGGGTGGTGCGATTGTAGGAGTAGGCTATCTTTTCATGTTTTTTTTTAACAGGAGATCGTGCCTAAACATCTTTTGAGGATGGAGAATCTCTCGGGGTATTACAGTGTTTTTGCATAAGTCTTCTCCACCGTGGAGATTTTGCCTAAATTATTTACGTTCATCAAAGATTAACTGTTATTTCCCTATCAAGCTATCTTCGCAAGCATTTCTAAATGCTCAAGACAATTATATTGTAAAAAATGCATTTGAGGTTGGCTTCGCACACAAGAACTTCAGTGATGTGATTGCTGCGCCAATTGCGCCAAACTGCGCCAAGGAGCTAACCCTGCTACATCCTGCTACATTCTGGCAAAATATGGGTAATCTGCGCCAAGCTTGCTTGAAAGGACCATTTTGGTCGCCTTTCAAAACAAACTAAACTGAGAACCGCAATTGAGCATGCGTGAGCTAGGTAGCGCAGCGGCCGCCCAACACAATGTATACTGCATCAATCGTCTATCCGGTCTCGCATGGCTTTTCCCGCGGTCTCGCGTTTCGTGCTCTCATCGTCTCGAGAATCTCGTTTCGCGTCTTTTTAAAAAAGATTTCAACGATAGACGTGGGCGTGTGCGGACGCTCCGACGTTAGTGTGCCGGGTGCCGGACATGTCGTCATCCTGTGAAACAAAACCACATTTTTGCGCGGTGAGAGTTACTTTGTGAGCTGAAGTGCTCGCGTGACCACAGTCGCCGTGGTCGCGCGACGTCGTGTGTTACCGTCCCCATATCGCTGCAGATATGGCGCTTTCTAAACTGAAACGCATTGACATTCCTGTTGTTGTTTAAATCATATGATGCTACGAAAATCCCTATTTAACTCAAAGACTGCTTGGCTCAGTATTGATTATTTAGGTTTCTCTCGGTGGGCTTTCTTTCGAGAGGGACCCCAGTACGTGAAAAATCTGCCGTGACAGAAAGTTGGTGAAGTGAGCTAAAGCAAAGAAGGCAATGTCTGCACGCTGAACCCGCCCAGCGCGCTTATTTGTTACGAGTTCAGTCGTTGCACAAAGCGTTTCAAGAACTTTTTTACCCTGATTCGCGATGTCATACACCAATGCGCCCAGGTTCTTTTTGTCTGTGTGTTTAGCCTGTACCTCGCCTGCCAGTCTGGCAAGCACGCGTCGCTGGACTGTTTATAGCCATGTGCTGGACAGTTACATTTTGCATACAATTTTGGGAACCAGTTGGCGACGGAGCGGAGTGGCATGGCTTCGGTTTCAATTGAGCAGCCGTAGTCTCCGCGCGCGTGATGAAGCACATGGAACTGCAAGCCTGCCGAAGTTGCCCTCACATACATGTGAACATGATTGCACAACAGAGGCACCATCCGGGATGTTTGCAATCCATTGTTTTACGTTTGCTTACTTTTTTTTATAAAAATCTGCCATGTCGGGAGCCAGTAAAACGGTGGCAAGTGTTTTTTCGGAATTGCTCGGCAACGCTTACAGCACTGTATACTTGCGGGATGTCTCAGCAGTAAAAACACAAGCAGCGAGTTCGGTCACAACACAACACAAAGTGCGCTTCGTTTGTCCAGCACTTAAAACGAATGTTTATTTTTCTAAGAATATCTGCTCCAAAAGCCACTTTTTCTGCACCGAAACACTGTTTTGGCTGCTCCAAAAGCCGCTTTTGCTGCTCCAAAACACTGTTTTGGCTGCTCTAAAAGGTGCTCCAAAATGGCTTAGGCCAATCACATCACTTGAACTTTTTCCGGCATTTTGAGTTGCAGCTGCTGCAATGTCAAGAGGTTTGGAAAAATTGCTAAAAAAGTAATTGTGCATAAATCGGATTTGACGTTCGTGTTTACGGAGTGTAAGGTCGGTCCGCCTTTGAGGTGCGGTGACGTTTATGCTGTAGGTGAGAAATTTAGCCAGCGCAGCACCACTGCTAGACCAGGGTCTTTAACGTGCACCTTGCAGTAGCGACATGCAACCGCATGCCGGTACGATGCTCGCCGAGATCAAAACGGGCAGGGGTCAAAATTGAACCCAGGATGCCGAAGCTTTCGCTGCACATGCTCCGGGCGGCGGTGCACAAGCACATTCGAGCACCGATCCCCCCCCCCCGAAAGTCACCATCAAAACCAGCAGGAAGCAGCCGGCGAGACAGAGGCTCAGGGCAGACGGCGTCACCGTTGTTCTCCCTGCAGAGGCAAGGTGACCGCCGACAAGTTTGTGTTGGTGCACGGCGCCAGCGGAGCGGTGGGCACTGCTGCGGTGCAGATTGCCAAGCACTTCAAGGCCAAGGTGGCAGGTACGGCCGGCACCCCCGCCGGCATGGACGTGGTGAAGCAGGCGGGAGCGGATCTTGTCGTCTGCCACAGGGATAAGGACTACCTCAAGTCCGTCATGGCAGGTGCCTTTTTGGGTTCTTCGGGACGCTTGGTGCGCGTGGCTGAACCTTAAAGATGATGTTCCACACCACATCTTGCCGCTTAGCATGGAACCATGGAACCATTGCTCGGCGAGTGACGGGGCCGAGAGGGTGTTTTGAACGGAAACAGAGATAAGCTCGCATTTGAGTGCGCCGGAGGGCGTGGCCGCCGCTTGTCTTAAAGGCCAACATACACTCCGCGCTTTCCATTTTTTACCTTGCCCCAACTTGGCTCCCCTTGCAGCTTAGGAAAGGGTAGCACTTAGAGAATTATCTTCCCTGCAGAATACCCAGGTTGTACGTGGGCCTTTAAGCGGTATCAAATCTGCCAGTGCGTGAGGCCTAGGCCTCATGCGGCCCTTGGAAGCATACGGCAGCGTTGCACTGAAACGAGCAGTCCTGGTAAGCGAATGGCGGCAGCGCGCTCGCTCGCGGCACGCGTTGAGCGCATTCGCGCAGCATCGGTTAGCTGTACTCATAAGAAACGCGAAGCGTGGATTCTATAAAGGGCCTTTAAACACACTGATGCCATCAGGCAACCCTGGTACACTTCCAATGTATGTACATTGGTTCAGATTTTCCACACATCACTCTTTCGACCTAAGCTCGCGATAATATATAAGCAACCAATTTCTCAGAGATGGTGCATGGATTTGATCTCTCGAATACTGCAAAACCTTGGATTTAGTTGCACACAAGTCGGAAGTGCTACGCATTTTTTTTCTTCTTCATACGTATACATTGTGGGTGTGTCAGGCATGCTGCGTGCCGTGAGTGATGGAAGGGGCCAGTGAGTTCTCCCGTTGTAAGTTGTCACAAGCGGACGCGGTGCACTTGGGTATTCTCAAACGCAAATGTGCGAACAACCCTAGATAGGCAGTTTTAGAATAGCGCACGTGAAAGCTTTACATACGCAAAGAATAGCATCGTTGCCACCACGCGTGCGCCGAACGCTAGACACGCTTTGTGTGCGCTACTTTAGCGTACGCTGTGTTTCAGAAATTGCGTGCGTACACAAAGAGTCTTTGTGCACCTCCAAGGCGGATTCGTAATGAGAAGTTGGCTAAAGCCAAGACGAGCAGAGTTAAAAAATGGTGGCTCCCTGGATCATGACTGCGGCCACTTTGTTGGTGACTGCGATTTTCAATACGGGACAACATTGCACTCAATTTGGAAAACTCAGTAAGGTGGGCGCATTGATCACCGGCAACTTGATGCTTGCGACGCGCGAACATTTCTTGGCGAAGGTACGGTGTGCGAAGGTCAGTACACGAGACTTCTTTTGCCGAGGCAACGCAGGCGGGACACAATCGGCGGCATCACATTCTCATGTTTAAACAAATCTAAAATGTTAGTCTGAACCAATAAAACTGTTTTTTTCTCAAGTTACATCATTTCGCGCATGAAATAAAAACTGTGACTATTTTGGTGGCGTTGGAAGTGCGAGATCCTTGGGCTTTTGCGTCGCGGCAGAGAAACGCTATTCTAAAACTCTCTTACGTTGCATGCTGTAGCGCAAGCGCAAAATTTAGTGCTTACGTGAGCTAAAATTGCGTACATTATTCTAAATCTCCCTAATGTCCGGAGACACAGAGCGCCACTTGGTAACCTGTGGCATACTTTGTATCGATCGCCCCTCTACAGGTCGTGTAAGAAAGCATACCTGCGAGAACATTTCATGGAGCTTCGGTTGGCATGGTTCGTAAGAAGAGAAAATTTATGGGGGAACGCAGTAATCTAAGGAAATTGAATCATATAAGCGCATTTACCCCAAGCACCTAAAGCTATGAAAAAAAAAAAAAAAAAAAGATTCACAGATGAAAGAAGCTTGATAAGGGGGGGAGTCTGTCTGCTAACACAATGCCGGAGTAGCAAAACACTGAAGACAGATTCTAGCAAAACCGTCGGTCGGCCTCGCTTCGAGCGAGAAAATCCCCAAATCGGTGGAAATGCGAAACCGAGATCCTGTGAAGGGAAACAAAAAGTCGGTGACCAAAGACCCTTGAGTTAGTAGACGTGTACCCCATTCAACACTCACTACGGAAGAATTTAAAAAAAAACTCTTTTCCCATTTGATTGGATTTCAGAAGTGGACCAATGACCGTGGCGTGGACATCATCCTGGAGATGCTGGCCAACGTCAACTTGCCCGAAGATTTCAACACTATTGGACAAAATGGCCTCATCCTGGTGAGCTGGAAATGCAGCCTAATGGCCCTAGGCCAATGAGAAACAGCGAGAATGTGTTCTTTCAGGAGGCCGTCTTTGTCTAGTGCCCATAGATGGAGCTGTGTGGGTAGCAGATACAAAGAACTTACCATAAAATCCTGCATTTACACCCTTTCCCGAGAAATCGCCCATCCTGTTCTTCTGGCTGAATATTCGTAGGTTAAAAGTTCAGAAACGTTGCCCACCTTCGATTTTCGTCGGTCATGCAATGTTTGACGGGAATTGCATCAGCTGCTTGATCTGCAGTATCAGTTCCTGTGGTGTGCGACTTTGTAGCGGGTTCGCACATGTTCATTGCACCATGAAGTGAGAATCTGCCGTGTCCATAAGCTCGGGGGTCAGCTCCTAACGTAGAGAGTTCCCACGTGTTTATCGTACTGTGGAGCCAAAGCTTTTCATATCCACTATTCCTTTGTGATATTGGTTTTTGTGACATACAAATTCATAGTGAGTTCCCATGTGCTTATGCACTGTGGAACGTTTAATTTGCTGTGTCCACAATCTGCGGTATAAGCTCCTGTGTCATGTGGTCATAGCTAATTCCCCACCCCCCCTTCCCCCATTCATCGTTAATTATTTTTATATAAGCTCCGCTGTCGCGTCCCCAAAGGTCGCCCACACTATATTCTTCACCATTTTCCTTTACACAATTGGTGAGCTTTTCTCCGGGACTTTACGGTAAATGACAAAACCGAAGTATTGCGTTCCTTTTTCTTTTGCCGCTCTCATAGGTAGAGAAGCGTCACGGGTACAAAATGGATCTAAGGCATTTCCGGAACAGTGGCCTTGTGAAACACCGAGTTTCGGCAGGAACATATTTTTCCACTTTGCACTGAAGTTTGACGAGCAGGAAGTCCCGAACCTCTGAATGTTGCATGTGCCAGTCAGGCACCGTATTTATTCAAACATAAGGCAAGGTTTTTTTCCAAAATCCGTAGTCTCAAAGTCATACCCCGCCTTATATTTAAAGCTCAGTATAGCAATATGACGATTTTTTTTCTGTTTCTTGGGTCCTTCAACTGCCCCCTCGCCTTATAATCGTGACCGCCTTATATTCGAATAAGTACGGTAGAGTGTAATCCTGTTATTTTTATGGTGCGAGTGCTGCTTTTAAAGCGGTCGTGGACAAAGGGGCAATGCACATGCTTTTAATGAAGTGGGTGGCCGTCAACACACCGTCACGCCAACGTTGACTAATGTCGCACGCTGCTGTGTCTTCTCTAAAAGCGGCAGTTGCTTCCCCGCAAGACTCAGATAAAAGAAGTGGAGACTTTTCCAACACTCTGCTCCACAGGTGGAGCATATACTTACTCTAAGCAGATGAAGGGCTCTAGGCAGATGCATAGATGCCATGGCAGCCATCTTGAGCAAAGATAAAAGTAATGCGGAAAGCCAGTCATCTGCTTCTTGCGCAGGAGTTGCAGTGACGTCAGATTGCCAAGCTTTGATTGGCTTTGATTCAAAGGAAGGGGGTAAACCTCAATGCTAGATGCCTTGAGGTCTGCCCACCATTTTGTTTACAGTGCAGCTCTTAGGCACCCGTTTACGGGTTGAGCGTCCTCAGCGTCAACGCGCGCTGCGTTATGGGACATTTCCCATAACAACGTCACACACGACGTTGTTATGGGAAACCCGTTTTGTTTGTCTCTCAGATATTGCCGCTATTCCCTGTGGTAATTGAAAAGAGTCGAGCAACTGCCCGCTCTCCAGAACTGACACTTGGGTCACGGTAACTTGCGACCCCCCCAAATGTTGCTCGCGTGAAAGTGGCATTTGTATATTTCTGTTCTGGTATAATATTTTACTTTCGATGGAGATGTCATAACGGATCTTGGATGCGCACTTGCACGGTGCTTTAGCAGCACCGTGCAAGTGCAAGCGCAGTTCGGGTGAAAAAAAGGTTCTTATAAATAAGCCAACGAACCGAGTGCAATTAATCTTTTCCCAAAGTTGTCTCTGGGTGGTGCAGTCATCATACTCAAACTTCATGAATGTAAGTTTTAAGGAAACATTTTGAGCCTATAATATAGTTTTTACTTCATGTACTGTAGGGAGTAAAACAACAAAAGCCATTGATCGGTGCTGCTATTCATTGAGGCGGCACAACTTAGTCCCTTAACCAGTTTTAATTTTTGGGAATTTCCGACCCTCTGGCGTGTAATTGTTGTCTCTAAAATCAAATTTGTAGCCCCTCCAAATTGTATTTCTAGCCACAATCAGAATGGTAGCAAAAATTTGAAAAAATCCACCGCTGCCATCTGTCAGCAGAGTTGCAGCCTAAGCCACGAGCGAGCCTGGTTTGCTCAGAAACGGTCGAGTGCGTGAACCGGCGACAGCAAACGAGCTACGCTCGTCCTGAAACGGTTTGGTGACGGCGCCACGTTGATGACGCCCGTCCAAAACGGCTAAGGAGTTAACGTAAAACCGTGAAGGCTTCTTTGAGATGGACACCCGAAAGTGGATCAGGCATATCCGAGCGTGTGTGGTGCCATCTTCGAATAGCAACATCAACCAGACTGTTTTCACCGTCTTCCTGCGTAAACTAAAAAGAAAAATCTGAATTTTTTAGGCTTACATTTTTTTTCCCTCAAACCCACATGCATGAAAAGTGCAATAATGCACCACCTGAGGACATCTTTGCAAAATGTTTCAATGCACTTCGATTATCGGTTTATTTATTTTAAAAACTGTTTTACTCGCATCCGCAGGTGATCGGAAGCCGGGGCGAAGTGAAGGTGAATCCCCGCTGCCTGATGGGGAAGGAGTCTGCGGTCATGGGGATCGCAGTCACGACGGCAACGCCGGTGAGCCACGCTTGCATCTATCGCTGACCTTCAGCTTGATTACACGCAGTCGCCGTATGGAGGCCGTCGATCTCGGTGCCGCTACTCAATTTTCGATTGGACAAAGCTTTAGGACTTTGGTGCCCTGGGAGGATTCGGTGGCTAGTCGGTGGCAGGCCAAAGGCTAATTCACGCACTTTGACCGAGTTCGCACATCTTTGACCTGATTACGACGTGGGAACACACTAGCACAATCCGTCGGATAGCCCACACAGAACACTTAGCTTTCCCGTATACAGTCGAACTTCGATGTAACAAACTTTTATGCAACAAAACCCCCAGTGTAACGAAGTGCACAACTTTTTCTAACCGCAAGTGTATGCACGCCTTGTATATTTTACCTCTATGTAACGAAGTCCCGTTTGCTGAAATTTCGATGTAACGAAGTTTCGTGGACAATTCGGCACAAACTTTTGGGTCCCAAAGGAGATTTTGGGAAGCACACACGCTGAAACGGGCCCCCGATAAAGCGCAAAGGGTGAAACTGGCCGAATCTGGCGAGTGCGATGTACAGAACGGCCACTAAAACACACTAGAGCCGTTGCCGTTTCATTTGTCGGCTACGTTCGTGCTGCATACTTCGTTTCAAGGCCTAACTAGAAGCGTGCGTCTCTCGTTGTTTTGGGTGATGGAGCTTTGAGAGCAATGAAGCCGCCCCTGACAACATTGACCTCGACGACTTTCTATACGCCGACTTTGCTGTCATTGCGGTGGAGGAGGTGACCGACGAAGCGATAGCTAGCGACGTTCGTGGGAACTCGCTCATCAAGCTCGCTGTCATCCCCATTTTGCAAGACACGTGCAATGTGCCCAGTACTCATGAAGAGGTGGACGCTATCAATGTCTTGAGGCGGTTCACGAGCACACAGCAAGACGAAGACGCGATGCAGGCTGTCTGGCTATGCGAACGTCGTGTGATGCCAATAATAATGTCAAGAGTGGCCCAGAAAAAGGCGACGGGCTACTTTCAACCGAAATAAAGGCATCCTCGGTGAGTTTTGTGCACCCGAGAAACATTTGTTGAATCTTTCTTTAACGTTTGCCCCGAATTTCTATGTAGCGAAATTTCAATGTAACGAAGTCAACTCTAAATTTTACTGACTTCGCTACATCAAGGCTTAACTGTATTTATTTCTTTTTTTTTTTTCTTTTTATTAGTTGGCAAAACCTTTGACAACGTTGTAAATGACCATTTCTTGTAGATGGTGTGTACGTTTGATATTGCAAGAACCGCAAAATCATCGCTTTAGGGCAGTGCTGTCCCCCTTTTCGAAAGAGATTGTGAAAAGTTGGTCATGAGTGTGGGAATGTGCCCTTCGCACGCAAATGCACAGACCAGCCTCAACTGCGGCGCCCACCGCTGCCAAAAAAATTGACCGCATTTCCACGGGGCAAATGATGTTGATTGGGGCGAAGCTCTGGTGGTGCTAGTCTGCGTAGACGCTGAGCCGCAGCATGCCAAGCCTTTCGTTCGTTTTCATCCATGTCAGAAAGAGAATGTGTGGTATGGAACGTGGTTATATATGCATTTGAGCATTTGACTGATTGAGCCAATGCATGCAAAGTTTAGTGTGATTATATACACATTTGACCGCAGTGCCCTCTTGTACAGACGTTGAGCGGCTATATGCAATGCTTCATCCATGACATCCCCAGCTTTTGAGTTACTACCACATCTCAGAGCCCCTACTCGTCCCGAAGTCATGGCCGAGAGTGGTTAAGGCGATGGACTAGAAATCCATTGGGGTCTCCCTGCACAGGTTCGAATCCTGTCGACTGCGCAAACATTTTTTCGTTTTTTTCATCTTTTTTTTTTTTTTTTTGCTTTACACAAGCATGTGAGCACGTGAGCTCACGAGCACAGGCACCAGCAAGCATGGACGCCGGACGGACAAGGCTAGACCCTAAGGAGCTTCGCCCCAAAAACCAGTTTGCGTCCCATTCTTTCCGCAGGGAGAATGGCAAGCCATGGCGGAGAACGTTGCGCGGGGCGCAGAGGAAGGCTGGATCGAGCCGTTCATGGACCGCGTTTATCCGCTGGGAGGGGCCAAGGCCGCCCACCACGACCTCATCAATTCCAAGGGGGCCAAAGGGAACATCACACTCGACCCAGACCAGTGAACACCGCCCCACATTGCAGGCATAAATTTCTTGCTTGCCACGTTTGGCAAATAAACTTACGAGCTCGGATGCCGGTGTCTGCGAGCCTCTCGCGTTCTTGAAGGGTTCAAGCACTCGCGACTGCTCACAACCATGTGCCTTGAAACCTCTTAAAACTTCTCACAGCAAGAGAAAACACTAGCGCCACCTGTTGGGTAGACGTGGAACACTTTCTTGTTTCCATACGTCTCTTTCCTTTTTTTCTCGTTTACCCTTAAATCTTATCTGGCTCGAAAAACTTATAAAAACATTATAGACTACCATTTCTTGTAGGTGGTACATACATTTGATTTCACAAATACCGCAAGACCTTCGCACTAGAGAAATGCTGTTGCAGGGTCACCTCATAGAGGGTGCCAGCACGTCCGCTCGTAGGAATTGGAGCTCGGTCCTAAGAAGCAAACGCAAGTGTGCAAACGGGCGTTGTTCCTTCGCCACCGTTCTCCACTTCCGTCTGCGCCACTTCTCTCGAAACCTGCACTTGTTTCGGCAGTCTCAAACGCGAAAATCGCGCTTTTCAGTGCTGTCTGTCTCAAATTGAATCTGAGATACATGTGAAGTGCCGCCGTCCCGGGGAACGGCCTTTCAAAGATGGATGTTTGCATAAACTTGCAATTGTTTTAGCACCACGAACCAGGAAATATGTTTTTTTCTGCGAACTTCGGATTCGAATATTGTTTTGATTTTGTTACTCATAAAAGTAGGGAAGAAAACTTTCAGCCTTTCCACTCTGGTGAAGGAAGACCAGCAAAGCTGTGCTATGGTGGAAATTAATTAATAGCTGGCTGCAAGTCGGCAAACTAGAGTGAAAAGGTTGGAGAGGTCACCGCTGTCGCTCATAGATGGTGGTAGCTGTCCAGAGCTTAGTGTCATCATTTGTTTGCTGGCGGACACGATACTGGGGAAACTAGCCCTGAACAGCTCGGCTGTAAAAATTTATGATTTCCAAAATAAGCCGTTTTTTTGCCCGCATCCCTCCTTAATTCAAAATGGCGCTTTCGCGTAAATCACATTTTTGCGGAAGCGGACCTCGCTTCCACAGAACTTGCTTCCCTGCCGTGCACCGGTGCCCAGTAAAAGGGTGTCCAAACAGGACACTACAAAACGCACGACTCCGACAAAGTGTGAAAATTGAAGCGGACGTTTCTATTTTTACGATTTGTCGGAGTCGTAAAAAGTTTTGCACGAGTCTTGAAAATTTTCACGATCACAACTTCTCTCCTTGCCTCCTTCACTTTGGTCTGACGTCACACGCCATCTGCGTCTGGCTCACCTCGCCAACGCCCTCGCGTACCGCCGTCGCCTCGGCTCGAAGGCCAAGGAGGTTCGGCTTCGGGTGGATTTGGGACATTCCTGCATTGAAGGGTGCGTTTCGCCTGCCTTGGATCTGCTTTCTTTGTCGAGATTCACTTTTGTCGTGATGGCGTCCGACGCGGTTTCGTATTGTGAGCGGAGGCCTTGAGCGATTGACCGACAGCCAACAGAGCGTGTGAGTGGCTCTCCGGACCCACGTGATGAGCAGAGCAAGGCCGCCCTGGAGGAAGCGAGGGGGAGATTTGACGGGGGGAAGTTTCCCCCCAGGAGCTTTGACGGAGGGAAGTTTCCCTCCGACAGCCGGAAGCGGAGCACGGCACGATTTGCCAGAGTCATGAGTTTTGTAGTATCCTGTTTGGACAGGCCTTAAGAAGTCCACTCAACAGGGCTAATACCCCAACCTCGACGACCTCTTTGCTGGATGAACAAAATTTTGCTTTGAGGTGTCGTGCGCTGTCTAAACAGTCCACGACGGACATTTTCAGGGGATGAATAAAGTTATCTCGTACATTTCACCAATGTTTCATGCGCGGCCTACCTGCTTATGATTAGGGCCTGCGTAGAGGAAATCGTCCAATCTCTGCCTCGTACGTGTAGCCATCCGTACAAAAAAAAAAAAAAATTTAATCGTCATATTTAGATAAATTTCCGATAATTCGAACAAAATCCGTGGCTTCCCAAAGGTTGAAATTAGAAAGTGTATCATACGTACAACAAACTGTGCTTTAGGGCAAATGCGAGCAAAGGCGGTCCGAATGCCACGCATTCGAAACGCCCCTGGGAAGTGGCAAGAAAAAAAAAAGTCGATATTGTTTTTCATTGCGGAATGCGTTATATACGTAGTCGTATAGTCACAGACACAGCGGGTCGCGTCTTCCCAACGCCGAGCTCTAGCACGCGCTCCACGCCTTCCGCCGTGCTTTTGCTGCGCAGGCATGCAATGCCGATGCATCGTCAGAGGCAGGGAGCTCACGTTGGAGGCGGGACAACCGAAGCCTGCCGTTCTCACCACACTTCCCAGCTCAGACAAGAGGAATTAGTCTCGTAACAACCCTCGGAGACATCAGTAGAGATTTCTGCTGTGACCACATTTCTTCGAAGCAAGTCCCTACATTCAGCACGGGTCGGCAGAGGGCACCGGGACGACGCAACGGGTGGCGCGCGACGTCGACTAGAAATTCGGGGTAGCCTACCAGAACGACACTTCGCAATTTCCTCATTATTTGCCTCGACTCGTTTGTCGAAAAATTCCCAGCCAATTGTAGTCGCCAACAGGACGGGAACTGCAGGGAGGTCTCTCTCTTGTCCCGTCTCCGGCGCGATCCGGCATCCCACGTGCCTTGAGCATGCACGCGCATTCAAGGCACAGGCTTGGGTGGGCTTGTTCGAGTTTTCGGGCCTAAAGGAGGAGCCACGACCCACCAGACAGAAATAGTGCATATTTACGACCGATGTTTTTGGACAGCTTAAGTCTGGAAGTTTTGATTTTTCGGACAAAGCCGTCGCTACCGATCGCCGGAAACGCCGCCAACAATGTTATTAAAACCCTCAGTTGGGAAACTCACCCTTAAAACCTGGGCCGCAGGTGTCCACCGAGACTGTGCTAAATACGATAACGGCGTAACCTTTTAGCAACGAGTTAAAACATGAAAGTTGCTTTACATAGATACTGCAACATGGCCCTGCGAGATGGCGCCACCGGCCCTTGCCCAACTCGACGTGCAGCCGTGCAGTTCCCAGAATGGACACTGCAGAAGAAATGGCGGCATTGGAATCGCCATTAGCTCGGTTCTCGAGTACGGATCGGAGCCACTTTTTTAAAGCAGGCTCTATGGCAGTTTTCCAAACGAGTGGTTCTAGTAACGTTGGCCACCGAGAAGCCACCATTTTAGATTCTATGTTGGCTGCACATGAATTGGCTCGGTTTGGTAGCACTACTTGAGTAGTGCCGAGTCCTACCGCTGGGTGATGCTACGCTACGGCTTTATTTTTCTCTAGCTCCGCGTTATTTATAATCGTTGTCATTACCATTTTGTTTTGCTCATTCGACATTCTGCAGACGTGGACTTGAACCTCTCGTCTTGTCTCAGTGAACCGTGTTCTTGGACTACGCTGGCTGGGACATCATGGCCCCATCCGTTCTTCCGGCACCACAAAGTGTCGCTAAGAAGCGTAGGAAGTAGTTGACCCTAACTGCTCTATTATTCGGACGTTTTTTTTTGGTCTTTGCGAAGTCCGAAAAATTGGTCAGCTACCGTACTAGTGCATGTGAAGGCCAACCATTCGAAAGAGAAGCCCTGCCAATAGCAAAGCTGGGGCTGCGTTGCCTTGACAGACTCTTCGAAGCAGGCGTGTGATGAGACGGCGCTCTAAATTTCATGCTTGACGTTGTGTCGGTTGGAGTCTAAAAATTTGCCGACCGTCCCAGGGTTTTCGCTCCTCTCGACGAGCGGTGCAAGACCGCAAGAACGACGAGATGCACTCTCGGTTTCTTCCAACCTTTAATTTCTCCTCTTTGCGTCGTTAGGAAAATAATTTACAGCCCCAGACAGAGCGGGGAGGTGGCGGCGACGACGAGCAGACGACGTCGAGGTCGCGAAGAACCTAGCAGGGAAGCCGTCAGCTGCCGGGAGGCTCCACCTCCACGGTCCCTTCTAGCGTCGCGGACTCCGTGCGTCCCTTGCGCTTGTCCGAGATGGAGAGGTGCGCCGACCCGTCGCTGCGACAAACGGGGGAGGGCGCGGTTAGATACATCATCTGGCTAAGTTAGAGCCCAGAACAAGAGTGTGTTCAACTATGCGACTGGAGTTGCACGATGTGCAGCGTACCTGCCAACCTGTGGACTTTCAAATTCGTAAAAGTCCCGTGGCCGCGGGGTTACGCGAAGCGATGTGTAGCTAAATGTCAGCCTGACCAGCGTGCGAAACGCTTACATCACACGTGCACGTGCTACAGAATCCAAACTTCTCTCGCTTTTTGGGCGGCACGAAGCGTGGAAATTTTGACGTGTAGGACTTAAGGAACACCTGAAAGAACCTCTTTTGAGGTTGGGAGTTCGGCATTGCGCCGCGAAGCCACAGTGATCAGGAGAATGCTACAGTTACACGTGCAACAAACACAGACGCCATACTTCTCGCCTCGAAACTGGCCGAAACAACGAGGCCCAACGACGTCTGAACACGCCGAACCAACCTACACCGGTGCACCGCCGAACACACAAACAAAGGCTTTGAGCTTTGGATTGGTTTTCGATCCGTGGCCACCGGATAGATGGATAGTAAAAACCACGACGCTGCTGTGGACGGCACCTATCGTCCTCTTGTGGCGGTGCAAGATACCGCAAACAACGGAGTTACAAAAACAACAAAAAAAAAAAAAAAAATATATATATATATTTTTCGTAAGATTTGAAGCAAGAATCGTAAAATTAGTCCCAATTCATACGTTTTACGAAAAATTTGGAAGACTTGGCAGGTATGGTGTAGGCACCATTAGGCTGTGGTGACACCACTAATACACCATACAAAAGAAAGTCTGTAGACATTGGGCCGGGACGGTCCCATTTTAAGAGGTTCATTTCTGCCGTCCCGTCTTTTTGGTCTAAGAAAGCTTCGTGTCCTCTTTTGGTGGGAATGTGCATAGTATCATGATATCCTGAACGTACACCAACCACCCTCAAACTTTGGCCCACTATCCCTTTTTATGTCGAAGAAAATCCCGATGTATCGCCCACCCTCCCAAAATAGCAATTCCAAATAACTGGGGACACCTGGGCATAGCTTTCTTTTTAGAAGCCTCCAGGGACGCACGCAAGAAAGTTACGCAAGAGCCTGCTCCCTGTGATTGACGAGGTGCACGACCTGGCCCAAAGCCAAAGTATTTGCCCATGCGATTGCCTGCTTTCTCACTTCCCCCAGCATCGCTCTTTGTCGCTTCTTTCACCTGCTTGCTCGCTGGTTGCACCTGGTTGGTTTTTCTATGGGCGGTGAGTGGCGTGAGGGCCACAAGTGCATGAGGGGTATGAGGGGCGTGAGGGCTGTGAGTGGCATGAGGGATGTGACGGCAGTGAGGGACGCGAGGGCCATGAGTGCGTGAGGGGCCTGAGGGCGGTGAGTGCGTGAGGGATAAGAGGGCCATGAGCGCGTGAGGGGCATGAAGGTGGTGAGTGCGTGAGGCCTCCTTCAGGCGCAGCAACTTTCTCAGCAATTTTGGTGTTGATGGCGGGTTGTTCCCTAGCTTTCCCCAGATCAACACGAATTGCTGAGATCGGGCCCAGCTTGAAACAAGCAAGCAACTTGGAGCAATTTTGAAGTGGCTGCATCCAATTAGGGACGCAATATTTTCACGTGATATCTCGTGCAGGTGATGATGACAAAGAAAGACTTGGTTCTGGTTTGAAATTGATCGTTTTTGGAAATAAACTGTTTCAGAAAGATGCATTAGTCTTCTCAACTTGATTTAAATGCATAAAAACATGTTTATGGCACGTTATTCTGTGTCTAAATAGTGCAAGAAAAATAAAATTTCGGGATGATGATGGCAAATGGCAGCAATTGGTTGCTGCGTGTGAACGCGGGCGGCCCGTGTTGCTGGTGGTGTGACGTCAAGTTTCTCGGCAAAACTGTCCCATCTGAAGCGGGCCTGAGTGGCGTGAGGGCCCTGAGGTTCAGTGAGGGTGAGTGAAGGGCTGAAGGCGAGTGACTGTGAGGATGAGGGTGAGTGGGGGGCTGAAGGTGAGTAGCTGTGAGGGTGAGTGAGGGGCTTAGGTGAGCATGGCAGTGAGGGTGAGGGAGGGGCTGAAGGCGAGTGTAGCTGTGAGGGTGAGTATGGCTGTGAGGATGAGTGAGGGGCTGAAGGTGAGTGTAGCTGTGAGGGTGAGTGAGGGCGGCCTAAAATGCCGACCTCTGCTTAGCAGTACTAAAACTCTTTCAAAAAGGTTGGTGGGTAAATCTCAAAGTTTTGCCCACCCGCATTTTTTTTTCTTCTCTTGAACTGTCTCCCGTAAAAAGGTGGGCGTTTGTTCAGGATATTATGGTAGTTGCGAAATCAGTACTAAGTGAATGGCAGATAATCAAAAGAGTGTTTGTTACACACCTAACGTGAAAATGAACATACGACAAAACATACTTTAGTTGCATCTGCTAATACACTTCTCATAAACGTGTGTGCAAGAGACTCTTCTATATCACCGAATTTGACGTGCTTTGGTTGTCAATGTTTCTTACTCATTGCTAAAAAAAAACAGGAAAAAAAAGCACTTGTGTTGTCAAGGAAGAACTTTGGGAAAATGTGCATGTTTAGGTTCATGTGAAGCAAAGCTTTTCTTTCTTCCTTCCCCCCATCTATGTCCCGCTCTTTACCCGGAGAATGATGGTCACCCTATGTCCGCAGCACGTTCCTTCTATGTGGGTCCTGTCACGTTGGTCGTGCAAACACTGCCTGCAGTGTTTGATGACCCAACACAACACACCAAGGGCCCAACACAATCGAAGCGCATGCCTGCAGGCATGTTCGATGCACACATATGTACGAAGCACACATGCTTCGAACGTGCTCGAGGCATGCCAGCAGATAATTCGTCGTCGTGTCTGCAAAGAATTGCTCGACTCTCTTACAATGTACGAGCAGTGTGGTCGTTGCAGCTTTGTGCGGCCAACTTAGCTGGGCACGAGATGGTGTTCTGCTCGATCTGGGTCGTGCAGTTTGTGGGCACTGTTAGTCGTGCGGCAGCATTGCATAGCTAAGTTGCAAAGCCTCGAATGAGAGAGCGTTCAACTGTGCAATCGAAGCCACGTGCTTTGTGGGCACCATTATCCAGTTAACATGGAGAGTCAAGATTGAGAGAGCGTTGAACTGCACAATTGGGATCGCGCAGTCAGCGGGTGGCAGTGCACAGGTCGACGACGTGACTATACTCTGTTTCACCTCATGATGTACCGCAGGAAAGGCTACAAGAGCAAGCTCCTTGCTCTAGGGCACATCTCGGCGGCACGAGCTCTCGTGCATTAAAGGCAGCTGCCAACGCTGTGAGCTCGCGCTTCTAGCCTTCGCTGCGGTACAACATGAGGTGAAACGGAGTATAGTGGCGGCTCCTGCGGGCGCCAACTACAAATTCGTTTTGCGCCGTAAATATAGCTTTAAAATATCTTTTCGTTGTAAATTCATTTTATGACATCCTTTACCCCACCAAGCTGTTTTTTCTTTGCATATATCCTTTAAGCTCTAAATGAGAAAAAGCGTCTTCATCCTCTAGAGCCTCGTAAACCTCACCTCCTAACGCTGATGCTTGCGACCAGCACAGAGTCCTCTTCAAGCTCTCGCACACACAGCTGCAAAAATGCGAGGAAAGGATTAATGTCTTGCCTCTCACTGCGAGAATCGGTCATTTAGATCTAGAGTGCACGTAACCAAAGTCGTCAAAAAAAAAAAGGTTGCGAGCACGAGCTTGCTAGCTCGTGCGCTTTGCTTCGAGGAGTGTCTTTCTAACCCGAGTGCTCGTTCTACGAAAGTGCATTTCAAAGTCACAATCTCATGCTGTAGTCTTCGGTGCCCCACTAGCTTAAAGGAGCACTCGAGTGCTTTTAATAGAAGCTTGTTTTTGATGGCATATTATTTGTTGGGCTTTAGTCAATAAAACTGACCAGCCTAGATGGCAAAACGTCGTAGCAAACTTGCCAACAATGGAAATGCACGGGCACTATTTTCTCTTGCTCTTGGGGGGGGGGGGGGGGGGGGGGGGGGGGGGGGGGGGGGGCAATTCTTAGGTTTATGATTTCTATAACGTTTGACCAACGAAAATAGATAACTGCGTGGAGATTCCGATTGTTAGTATTAATGCTCTTTCTAGGCACGTTGTCCATTATATTTTGGCAAAAATGTCAATTATTTTCATGTAAGAGACATAATACACCAACTATTGTTTGAAAATGCCATCTGACAGCACCCCCTGGCATCTGCTCCAAGACTATCTCAGAATCCACTTGAGGTCAAACAGAGTAAGAGATGCCACCCACTTTAATGGAACCCAAGGTTTCAAAACGGAACAAAGGGGTTAAAAAATGTTTTACCTTTTAAACTCGTTACCCGAAGAAGCCCAACAATTTTTGGGCCCATTACGCCGAGAAATCTTAACAACATTGTATATTTGGGGACGACTTTCGGCGACATTTTAACCGATGCACGTACAGCTTCGATCGCCGTTTGAGGTGCAAGCGCGCACGGTTTTCGTGGCTCCGACTTTTCTGCAGCCAAAAGCTGCTTTCAAGTGTAGAATTTGAGCATGACTCGAAGATGAATCGAACTGAGTGGATGCTATTACAATCAGTCTCCAAAGCACGCTTCAACCAGAACCTACCTACTTTACCCACGTTGAACACTAAGGGCCTATTAGGTAGTCCTGAAATGCTTCCAATCCGCGTATAACCAGAGCGAAGCTTCCGCAGGATTGCCGAAATCAAATCCACACACCATCTACGAGAAACGACCGCTTTTAACGTTGTCGGACTTATTTTGAGCACACAGAGAAAAACTGAGGTGCGTAACATATGCGGGCCGGAAGCGCTCCGGGGCTACCCTAGATTTGGGGTACGTCCTCTCGTCGTATGAGGCCACAAGCGGTTGCAATGCGGTCGATCGCGTTCTAATGTAAACACATAGACTGCCCTTAACTCGGATGTTCCAAACTGCACAGACTTGAACCTTGGGTTTTTAACCCTCCGACGGTAGAGTTTTTTTTCCCCCAAAAAAATGTTTTCCAACGATCAGGTTTTATTTCCCAAGGAATGGTACGGAGAAAGGGTCAATGCACATTTTTTTCTCAGATATCTAGTGGGAGCACACATACAGTGCTTGCAAGTTGTTTGAGTTTAAAAGCAGCAATTGAAAATATTGACGGTTGCACAGTTGTCACCTTTTTCCCCCACTCGGTTTTATTTCGATGCCCGGCCAATATTTCGGTGGTTTCAGATTCCGAACCGGAGGTACTTTACAGAGCTTCTCCGTCGGACGGTCGGATTGTGTCACATAAATTCAACTCTGAGGAACGATCCCTCGGTCTCAAATGCAAGCTTCTTTCTCTTTGCAAACCCCAACGACCCAACCCTACCCAACAAGTACCCTGACGGGGACTGGTCCCGAACGAAAGAGGTGGGCATGACAAGCGCTCACCCTCGCCAAGAGAGTGGCCTCACAGTCCGGCTGGTCCTCCGCCCTTTCGTACACTTCCAAGCAGACGGAGTTGTGGCCGGCTGCCTTGGCCACTTGTTTCTGCCACTTCGCCGGCACAGGTGTACCCTCGGGTAAAACAGGTACCAAGGTGGATTCTGGCGTTCCCTGCAAACAAGCGAGGAGTTGCAGATCGGCAGGTTTAAAGATTTTTTTATTGCGCAAGGTGTTTTAGGGCAGGTGTCCGAGTTTAGAGGGTCACAAAAAGCTGTTACGAAAACAAAACGTGGTCGGAGGTCTTAACAAAAAAAAAAATAGTTTGTTTTTTCACCAGAGGCCACATTTTAATCGCCGCAAAAACGGGACTTAATTTTCTTGTCGCGTCACAAGCAAAGATAGTCTTCGCAGACGGCACATCCGCTAATGGCCGGTTCATACGGCAAACTGATCTGCGGACGAATTGATAACGTGACAACATGTCCGCGATTCGTCCGTCTCCCAAGCCCATCCACATGAGGGACCCGATGAGCAGACGCCAGCGAGGACGGACCAAACCTGTTGGCCACCCCACGGTGCCGCGAAACTCCAAAACTCCAACATCGCACCATGGCACCGTCGTCCCAAAAAAAAATCTATGTTTGCTACCGCAATAAAGAACTATACGCCGCTGTTACGTACAAATCGAGACAAAACACCGTGATAGGCTTTGCGCGAAGCTTCACTAGCTTTACTAACACAAATCATGACAGTGACACAGGCATGGTCCTGCTCGAGAAGGGTTCGGCGTAGAAGCGACGAAGTTATGGGCTGGCGGAGGGGCGTTTGGAGATGCTTTCAAGCACCCCGCGCTCGTGCACAACACTCAAGTACACCACAGCCACAAGAGAGGTCTTGCTCAGTGAAATCCAGACTGGACGTGCAAGAATTATGGCGGCATGCTAGACCGAGTTTTGACGTAAAGCTCCTCGACACGGACCCAGAGGAGTACCGGAACCCGTGTCACATCAGCTGGACAAAGTTTCTGCAGTTTCTTTCATGCGTGGAACTAGAAATCGCGCGACAAAATGAGACAGCGAATGCACAAAACACAACGACGTGCCATGTTTGTTTCAGTCGTCCAGAAACAAAGAAAAAAAAAGAAAACCACGTACCGTTGCCAGACTAAATGCTTTTCAAGTCAACCTCCCGCCAAAAATCTGCGAGTAAAAAAGGCGCTCGACTTTCCGTGCGTCTGCGGACAAGGAGTGTATCGCAGGAATCGGTGATGTGCCGGTTACGTGATACACAATCCGCGGACAAAAATCGCGATTCGGTCCGTCGTCTGAATTGGCTGTGAAGGGCTGTCCAAACGAGACACTTCAAGCACGCGAGAAGCGAAGCTTATCCGCCATATTATGTGCGGCACTCCGTTTCATTCTGCCTCTTTGGCCGGGAGGGGGGGGGGGTGCTTCAATACCACGTCCACTTGTGTCCTTCACAAAGGCCTAGTGCATGCTCATCACGCGGGTCCAGACAGTCACTCGCACGCCCTGTTGGCTGTGAATCGCCCGAGGCCTCCACTGCTGTTCAAATCCCAAAAACGGGAAGGATACGAGGGCACAGCAGAACAAATGGACAGGCAACAGGCACGCCACTTGCAGGTGGCGTGTGACGTCGGGTCTGAAGAGCACCGAGAAAACCAGAGGTGGCGAGAAGAAAAGCCGCAGTGTTTGCCTGGTGCATGTCCAAACAGAAGACAGACTGCCGGATTTCAAATTTCACTTCATGTGGTGGAGAAGTGTCGTGCCACACGTTCTGAAGTGTCCTCTTTGGACACCCCTTAACGCGAGCGAAGAATGCAGTTCATCTGCTACGAAGCTTTGCTGGCAGGCAGAAACAAAAAGAGGAAACACCGTTAGACGTCCAGACCGAAAAAAAAAAAAACGCATCTCCACGTGGTGAATGATGTTGATTGGGGCGAAGCTCTGGTGGTGCTTGTCTGCGTAGACGGTGAGCCGCAGCATGCCGAGCCTTTCGTTCGTTTTCATCCGTGTCAGAAAGAGAATGTGTGGTGTGAAACGTGGTTATATACGCATTTGAGCATTTGACCGCAGCGTGACATGGATGAAAACGAACGAAAGGCTCGGCATGCTGCGGCTCACCATCTACGCAGACAAGCACCACCAGAGCTTCGCCCCAATCAACATCATTCACCACGTGGAGATGCGTTTTTTTTTTGTCCTACACGAGCGTGTGAGCTCACAAGCAGGAACACGAGCCCCCGACGCCGGACATCGGACGAACATAACTAGCCCCTAAGGAGCTTTGCCCCTAAAAAAAAGTTTAACGTCTGCTACGAATTGAGCGCAGCGGGGTGAAATTCTGATCATCTGCTTTACGCTGGAAGCCAATGACAATCTGCACTTTTGCAAACCTTACGTTTTTCTGCTGCCCTACACAACCCAACACCGACCGGTGGGTGGAGGAGTACTAAGGACAAACACATCCGAAGCCACCTTTCTCGCTGCTTGTGTCTTGGTTAGACATTTTCATCAAAATATTGCCCGACTGTGAACTTAATTGGGACCAAAACTATCTCTCTGGCTACATATGGGCAAGCTATGGCACCATGTCCAATCAACAGCGGAGAATGCTCTCTCACCTTGACCAAAAGTAGACCCCAGGAATCCGACTTGAGCCCTCACTCCATAAGTAAGGTTCAGCGTTTTCTTCAAACTCAAAATGCTCTTTCGTTTTCTTTTTTTTGTGTGTGTATGACAAACAGGTGAACCTCTCAGAAACCGTGGTTTCTACTCATCTAGAACGCAACAATAAATAAGCTTGCAACAAATCACCTATACTTCCAAAATGTTATATCAGACGACCATGAAACAAACTCCTGTTTAACAAAAAGAGTCATGAGCAATTTAGATGGCCATGAACAAAAAATTTCCAGGTCCGACACGACTATGTACATGTGCGAGTCTGGCCACCACAAAGTTAAATCTACGCAACGGGGCGCTGAACAAGCTTGTATGGCAATTTTCGGTGTCAGACAAACAAATCTACATTTATCAGGGTTTATGCTGAAGAAAACAGAACAGTAGCACGAGATTCCCCAACTAACAGGGAACGTGTGTAACTCAAACACTTGGAAAACACCCAAGTACCGATTAGACAAATAAGGAAGTAAGGGGTTATCACGGAGCATTGAATTCTACTTGTCAAACAGATTTCAATTTGTTGAGATCGCGGGGGAAACTTCCACATTACTGCCAGTCACTTCCGGTGTGCCTCAGGGCACGGTTTTGGGGCCAATTGCGTTTCTCGCGTATATAAATGACATTGCAAATGAAATTCATCGACCTGTTGAAGTCCACCTTTTTGCAGACAATTGTCTGATGTACATAAGAGGTAATTCACAAAGGGACCAAGTGTTATTAAATGAGTCGTTAATGACTATGCACGAGTGGTGTCACAAATGGGATATGAAGATAAGTTTTGAAAAGACAACTTTTGTAACAATCACAAAGAGGAGGTTGCCTAGAATATTTCCGTATTCCTATAATGTTGCACTCTTGCAACAATCCGAAACTTTTAAATACTTATTTACAGCTTCCTGGTAGATGGTCACCGAGAGTTAAATAACCAGTTTGGAGTCAAGCCGCATTTCCCAAATCTTGATGTTTTTGAATACTCTTTTTTTGTAAAAACAATTGAGGAGTGGAATAGTTTGGATGGCGACCTCTTCGTTGGGATTGACAATGCCAATAAGTTTGAAAGTATCATTTGATTTATATGCAGAGACGTACTAGTATGTTTTGGTGGTGATGACTTTCGGTGGTGTTGTTCAACCGAAATCGTACTCAAATGATTCTATTGTGGTGATTGTTCTTAATCTTCGGTTCTTTAATTCTGTTGTTTTATTGCTGTACACTCCTGAAACAGCCCGAAAGGGCTTTCAGTATTGTAAATAAATAAATAAATCCAGTGCTCTGTGAAGTATCAATGCCATTTTAAACTAATTTCCTTCCCCGTGACAATCAGTTCAGACAGTCGGTTCTAGGCTGCTCATGGCATTGTGCATGAAAACTGCACGATTGTTTATAGAGTCCACTGAGAACTGCACGTAGGATATTAGCGGTACTTTTCCCCAAGCGTCTAATGGTGGCGGGGCAAATTGGCACGGTGCAACGTTTATTTTGCACGTCAGCGGGCATCTCCATTTTGTGTGCAGGACTTTATGGGTGCTACTGTCAATGAATGTAGTCCTCAAACGTGGCTTGGATGGGTTGTTAAGAGACACTGGTTGCATCCTTTTCTTTCTCGCAGATTGACTCTATGACAGCACAAAACTCCTACTGCAAGCACAAACCAAAAAAAAAGAAGAAAAGATGCCTGGCTTTTTACCTTGATGTAGATTCCCTTGGAGAGGGCAGGCACGCTGGGACAACGGGGAATATCCCTTGTGACGTCGTCGCGGGCACAGAGCAGAGCAGCCTGCAAATCACAAGAAAGGGTTGGCATCAGAACCATACACCACATATCACTTGCTTTGTTCCCACAACACTAGGCAACACCAGCATTGCTTCAATGGCCGCTCTGGTATCCATAAAGACGAACCTCTCAAAAACCACGGTTTCTACACAGCGAGTGCACAACCAACTAAAAAGAAAGTAGTAGCAAGTCGTCTAGGTACTTTCAATGTGTTGGACGGACAGCCATGTTGAAAAACAGCGCAACTGGGACAAGGACAAAAAGACGAAGAGAACACAAGACAAGCGCTGACTATCAACTGGTTTGTTAATAGGACATAAGGAAGAAAGACAATGAAATAAAAAACATGATGTTCGCGCACTTGCTGGGCGCCTCATGGAATATGTCTCCTTCTTTCTTCATCTGATTGTAGAACATGTTTTCTTTCTTTCCGCAGGAGCTTTTATTACTCTAAATGGACAGCCATGAAACAAACTCCCGCTTGGAGGGGAACTCCCCCGATTCTTCGAGCTACCTAACCCAAAGGCATCACCTGAATGCAGATGGCTTCTTGATTCCAAAATGCTATCTCGTTCTCGCAGTCACTCTAGTTAATTAAAAAAGTGATATTTTGCTTGCTGCCGAAACTGAAACATCGTTCTCCCTAGTCTTTCCCCAGTTTTCCCCGCCACCCAAACGTGATGTCACCGGCAGGCAGCGAGACACACAGCCAATAATTGGGTAGCTCGTACCCGCCTTTCTCGCGTCGAACAACTAGAAAACAGGGGCGTTCGTGCTATCTGACGTTGATAATAATCTATAGCTGCACAGAGTATGACCTCTGCCCTAAGAATAAACATATTAATATTACCAAGGATATTTTTATAAATTCTTCTCAAATAGAAATTGTTCCCGCGTTTAAAACTTTGGGCGTTATTTTTCAAGAAAACTTGTTATGGGACGACCATATTAATCATATCGCATCAAAGTTATCTAGCATCGTCGGTATTCTATACCGTCATAAACACATCCTACCACTTAGAACAAAGTTAATATTATATAATTCATTATTTTATTCACATTTAAATTATGGTCAACTCATATGGGGCACTACTACCTATACCAACCTCCACAAAATCTTTATGCTACAAAAAAAGATATTAAGAAGTATCTCTAATGTGCCACTAGAACATCCAACCGATGATCTTTTTTGTAAGATTGGTGTGATGAAAATTTTTGATTTATATAAATATCGTTTATGTGCAAGGTATAAAATAGAAACAAATTTATCCCAATGTCACCTTAAAAACTTAGCGAAGCTAACAGATAAAATTTATAGGTACCCAACACGAATTAAAGAACCTTGGGAAGTACCCTTTTTTAGAACAAACTACGGCCACCAAAGTTTAAAATATACTTTGCCCTCTACCCTTAACCAGCTTAGTAGGCAAGGCATTGAGCTTAGCAATATATCGGTGAGCATCTTACGAGAAATGTTTATTTCAAATGTTTATTTCGAGCCAAATTGTCCGTGATAAGCGCTAAAATCTTTGAATCGATGGTTTCTTTCGCGTTTATTTCAGTGGTGTTTAAGGGGGGACATGAGCCTAAATATTAAATTTTTTTGAAAAAATTCATTTTTTAATTTTGAGGTTTTCAGTTTTAGAAACTAATTATACACCCTTACACCAAATTTGATGACCATATGCCAAATAGTTACGTTGATATGAAATATTTTCAACACATTGTGAGGCAGTAACAAAGTAAAGGAGTTCAATGTTTGAATGCATTTTTCTCAGTTCCACTTTTTGCTGCAAATTTCACACGAAGGAATCTTTTGTTTGAAGGTGAAAGTATTCTGTTACCACAATCAAGATGTTTCTGAACTGAAATTTACTCAGGAATCGGGCTATCTACTTTATTTTGTTTTAAGTTGAAGTCCTCAGGGAGAAAAAATTAAGTTTTCAAATATTGACAGATGACAGATATGCATCTCATAGTTTGAGGTAATAACACTTCCTGAAATATTTACATTTAAGTTATTAAAACTAGGTAGCCCGAGGTCCCATATCCCCCACTTTATATTCAAGCAGTCAAAATGGTGCTTAATAGCTTGATTTGCATATCATAGATTTCTTAATGAAAAGTGACACATCATCTTATGCAGGTATGCAAATTTGTCCTAGAGAGCTGAAAGTTTGCACAGTACACCTACATTTGAAGCTAAACCTCCCCTGCAAATTTCATTTCGATCAGTTGAGTAGTTAAAAAATTTTACCTCTAGCCAGTGTCCCCCCTTAACGTTCTGTGTGTGTATTCACTATTGTGTAAACTGTATCAATATGCTACTTATCTTGTTTAGCGTCATTTCTTTCTTTGTAAAGTTGTTCAAACATGTAGTACACATGTCATGTTTCAATTTTGTATAAATCTTTAGTGCCTGCATCGCGACTGCTGGTGTAGGTGGTTTGGGGCTCGTCAAGCTGTTTTTACAGCTTTTTTCCCAAGTCACCTTTTCAACATTGTTTTTGTTGGAAAAAATAAAGGTACTATTATTATTATTATTATTATTATTATAAAGCTGCCATCAAGCACGCGCCTCAGAAATAAAACACAAAGAAAAGCACAGCAACACAGATGCTTCATCACGGAAGCCGTCGTGAAGCCAGCACTGTTCACTGCACCTGCACAGTGGGGGAGTGTGATGTCACCAGCTGAGCGCCGCGTGGGAAAGGAAGACGTGGCGCACTGCTTGTAGGAATGCACTTCTTGTAGGAATGCGCTGCGTGCAGGAATGCTTTTGCGATCCCACACGTAAGCAGTCCTAAGTGTCTCTGGCTAGTTTTTTTGACGAATTACCCAAGTACCACGCAGAATGCTCGAAATGTGGGTATAGGTGCCCCATTTGTTTGTCTTACCTGAAGGAACATGTTGTTTGTTTAAGAATTTATTTAGAAAAGTTACTGTTGCAGACGATAGCATGTGTACCTACCCTTGTAGCATGCATATGTTCCTTGGTGTTTAAGTGATTTGTTTGAGTAGTGAGCTACCTTGAGCTCAACGACGCAGTGATGACTGCCGTAATACAACTTGAACATAGAAGTGAAGCAACGAGGCAGAAAAAATAACTTTTTTTGGAGAAACGAAACTTCCTGCGAGCTGAAATCAAAGGAGCGACACCGTAGCAGATGACAAAACAAGCTCCTACTGCCCGCCGCCGCTCCTCGGGCGTGCGCGCACCAGCCGTGCCACCGTCAATACGAGTCAGCCAGTAGGAGAGCTAGCCTCCCACCACGTGACTCAAGCGGCAAATCGCCTAGCCGATTTTGTTGTTTTTTTGTTTGCATCGTGCGCTCTTGTTGTTCCTTAAAGAAATACGGCACCACAGCTACGGGAAAGCTGAATTCATCCTCTCTCTGGTAATACCAAGATGGCGCCGGTCAGTCAAGCGGGCTGCATGCTGGCCGCTGCCCAAAGTGAGCTTCTGAAGTGCAATTTTCTCGCAATTTTTTTATGTCGACACGTTATAAAATTGGTGCTTTCTTTTTTGCCAGTAGGAGAGCTTCTCTCCTCCTCGCTTGTTTCGTCCCATCAAGCAGGCAAACCGAAGCGAGGAGGAAAGAAGCGAGGCCGCTTCCTTGCACCTCGACCGTTTGAAGAGAATTGTGACGTCACATTCCTCGCTTGATCGCGCCCTTCTTTTCCAAAAATACAGCCATTCATTTAGAGATATCGCTGGATGGGTGATGTTTCGGAATTCGTAGCATCCAGCTCAACGCTTTTGCGGCCTTATTTGGCGAAATCAAAATTTCGGTTCAGCACTTCTTTTAGGCTGAAGCTTACAAATCATCAATATTTTGCAGCAATTTTCTATGATAGATTTCTTCGCCAAGTGAGGTGACTTATATCAAGAGCTGTATATCTATCTGCCCTTGTAGCTTATCGGAAAATTGTCCTACGCAGATGAAACGTCATACACTGCATTTAGGCAACAAGATGAATAGGCCCTCCAAATTCCATCAATACTGAGCGACTGGTTTAGAAGTTCACATTTGAAGGTGTTGTCACCCCTCAATGAATTTGCATGCAGTTTCCTTCCATAATGCTCCTAAATAACTTTGTGAGGGCATGACAAGCTTCCTTTTTCAGGAAATTCCGTTAAAAACGTTCAGCCTTTCCACTCTCGTGAAGAAGGAAGACCAGCGGAGCTGTATTCGATAAACTGTGTGTTCTTCTTCGTCGTCGAATTCATCGTAGGAAACGAATTCATCGTTTCCTACGATGAATTCCCATCAATGTGCCCAACTATCCATTCTTCTATTATAGCTGGAAAAATTGCCGCCATCTACGAGCAACGGCGGAAACCATACTGGTTGTGTGCTTGCCGCAGTCGCTTATAGATGGCGGTAGCTGTCCAGGTAGGTTTGTGTTGGCGTACACGGACACGTTCCTGGGGAACCTGGCCCTTAACAACTCCACTGTAAAAATTTATTACAGTCAATCCTCATTAATTCAAACTCTCTTAATTCAAACTTGTGGATAATTCAAACTAACATGCAGGTCCCAGCCTGTGCATCTCTATGGGAGGAAACTCCTGATAATTCAAACTTTGCTTTATTCAAACAAATTTTCGGCCCCCCTCGGGTTTGAATTAACGAGATTTGACTGTATTCTCACATTAAATTTGATGGACGAAGACATGACCAGCAACATAAAATTAAATGTAGAGTAAAAAATATTTTGAAAGGAAATTAATAAAAGGGACTCTGTCATGCCCTAGGCAGAGCCGTGTATACAGACAGTTTGATCAATGGGAGGCACAAGCAGAGCCACGGCATGCACCAGACGCAAAGAGTGGGCTTGACATGCTCTCTTGGCCAACCAAGAGCCGAAAAGAATCCCCTAGCGGTGGTAACGAGAAACTGTTTTGATCAAAGGTATAAGTTTGTAAATGGTTTTAATAAGCGCGTAAGAGTAAAGTGTAGTAACCCTTTGTGGTTGAAAGTAGGGTGCACGTGATGTTTTGATCATGATCATGCAGAAAGATTTAATAAACGAATGCGCCGCTCAAATTTGTTTTGCTCGAACAGAGTTTCACCGCTCAGACGGCAGATTCCCGGCCCTCAGCACTTGGCGTACGGATTATGTTGATCGCTCCACAAGTTGCACTCTTTCACCATGATTTATGATGACCGTGATCAAAACACCACGTGCACCATATTTTCAGTCAGCGAGAGTTACTCCGATGCACTTATCAAGTTTGTTTCTCGCGACCACTGCAAGGGTAATATTTCCGGCTTCTGGTTGGTCACATTCGAATTTCTGAAGACGCCCTGGAACACGCCCAGCCCGCTTTCGGCCAATGGCGCCTCCTCATTTGTCTCCTATACTTCCCAACGAATGGTCAAACTCTCTACATATACGGCTCTGGCCCTAGGGAGCCTACCCAGGAATGCTTATAATTAATTTCACATTCCCATGATGTTTTGCTATTTCTCCATCCCTGGGATAAAGGAAGGAAGTGAATCCATAGGCACAGCTTTATAAAACTTAGCAGTTACTTTTATGTATGCGCTATGAATGCGCCCTGAAAATTTCATACAGATAGCCCTAGAAATAAGAAAGTTTAGGCTCGACGCAGTCTTCCCCCCTTAATGGATATACTAGTACTACGCAGTCGAGCACAGTTTAGTTGGCCGTCGACACAGGTTTCTGGGTCCGACATGACCCTATACGCAGGATCGGCTTCCACAAAGTTAAATGCAAGCAATGGACTCTTCCGACTGCTGCGGATGTGCTCGTTAAAGAAATTATTGTTCTATATAGGTTTAGAAAGAGTTATAGACGTAAAGACAGGGGACGGGACAACACATCTTCTAGTTCTATCGTTCTAGTCGCCGACAGACTGAGAAGGGCGAGAGGTCTTTTGGCTGTCCCGCCTCCGGTGCGAGGTTCCTGCCTTCGATGGCACCTTGGCATCGCGTGACCTTCGAACACGCACATGCAGCTAAATAGCTAGAGGAAGGCAAAGAGCGTGTGCTGGAGGCACTGGAAAGACGTGCAGTTCTTTCCAGTGCCTCCAGTGGCCATGGAAGTTGGCAAGACAACTTGTACAGCCAAAACTTCTACACTCCAACAGCAGGTCGGATGAATGATGCCGCATCAGTGCCACGAGGAGTGGTCCTCACCTGAAGGGCGCCGCCGATGGCGATCACCTCGTCAGGGGCGTGGCTGTCTAGGATTTGCGACGTGGGGAAGCGGGACGCCAGGAGATTCCGGACGCGCTGGATCCGGCCGCTGCCGCCACAGAGCACCACCTGGCAAAAGAGATGCGTGTGCCCGACGGACATTGTTCGAAATGAAAAAATCTTTCGATGTGGCGGTCGGGGCATGGCCGGGCCGGACAGCAGCGTTTCCTACGGCTTTTGCTCTCGCTTATACTCTAGTTCACCTTATGATGTACCGCAGGAAAGGCTACAAGCGCAAGCTCCTTGCTCTAGGGCAAATCTCGGCCTCACAAGCTCTCGTGCATTAAGGGCAGCTGTCAACGCTATGACCTCGCACTTCAGCCTTCGCTGCGATACAACATAAGGTGAAATGGAGCATAAAAACAATCGAAATCTTTTCTAGCCACGTGGGGGCACGACCGCACCGCCCCTTTCGGTACCGCCCGAACCACCTCGAAAACCTGTTCCGACAGGCATGATTGAAACTCTGTGCCGATCTACTCTCATGAAGGAATCACGGCACACCGATCGAAATATTTCTGGCTTCTGATGAATAAATGCTTGTTTATGGAACAAAATGTTCAGTTGCGCTAGTTGGCTCATGACTGGATAGAAGCACTCAAGGACAGGGACAAAGTGAAGGAGGTAATGACAACTTTGTCCCTCTTGTCGTTACCTCCCTTCACTTTGTCACTGTCCTTCGACACTTCTATCCAGCGGGTTGTTTATGGAAAATTGTTTTTTGAGAAGACGAAGAAGAGTTCTGCGTAAGCTCCTGCAGGCAGAAGACCTCGAGGCCCATAGGTCTAGCTAGTCTGGAAATTCGTTGAATTTACCATAGAGTGAAGAGGCCCAAACGGTGAAATCTATATGCTTTCTTAGAAGGGGTTAAAGTGCTGTAAGAGTGAGGTCCCGGCACTTCATCGAGCAGCGGGCCACGGGAGAAACTACCGCCCATGCTAAGGCCTGGCCTGCCCGTGATTAGGAGAAACATGCTGTCTTATCTTCTTTCCAGCTGAGTCGTATTGAAAAATTTACTCAATCTCGCTCCGTAGCAAACGTTTTGTACCTTGGATACGATACGACGCACTAGAGTACTAATCAGAACTTACTCGAGGAAGATTTGGAACGCAGCCTCGCTGACAAGTGGCGAAACAACTGTTTTTTTTTAAAACCTGCTCTCGTTGCACCGAAGTTCATAGCACAAAGGCATAGGCAGAAACTATGCCACCATTATAGGTGTTTGTTAAAGGGTAACTGCAAAGAAAAAAAAATGTTGTTTTTTTAAACAGCCTATTTGGGATAAGCATGTCACAAAACAAATCTTCCGCGAAAAAAAAAAATTTCTTTTAGCAATATTTACGCCACAGGATGTAATTTAGTCGGAGTCACAACCTCTCCACATTTGAAACTCTCGCTCTTTCGACGCGCGTTATATATCTGGAATACGTCACTCCGTGACGTAGGGCAGCCACTCCGTGACGTATAATACCAACTTTGTGGCGCGCGATTTAAAACGGACAAAATAGCCGCAAACTAAAATCAGTCCCGCGCGATAAATATTGCTGTAAAAAATTTTGTTTTTGTTGGAAAAATTGTTTTGTGACATGCTTGTCCCAATTAAGCTGTTTAAAAATACACTTTTTTTTCTTTGCAGTTACCCTTTAATCTTTTGGGCTATGTTGTTTCCTTTTAGAAACTGTGCCACCAAAAAAAACTTTAGTTGTGAGAACAGCTTCGTCCTGTCCTGTTTCTGTTTGTTTCTTCACTTTCTCTTCGTAATTTGAGCTCTTTTCATCATGTACACCACAATACATATCGTATTTTCCGACTGCAAGTCACATTTTTTTTTTCAGTATTTTCATCAGCACGGTTTATGCTACGGTGCAATTTATATGCATTCTTTTCTATAAGTATAAACTTTAACCGCAGAAATTTGTCACGGGTATATTTCTCGTTCGATTCGTCGACACGAATATTGAAACTTGCTCTCGCTTGCGCATACACTGCAATCTTATCACACGCATGCAGGCCTTTTATTGTAATTTTGCCACACCGACCGTAGAAATTTACAGGTCTGATTTACACAAAGGTGTGGCTTATACATTGAAATATATGGTAACAAGGTATGACTGGTAGATTACACGAAGCATATGTTGCACAGTGAAAAGCTGTACAAATTAGTCCGCAGGTGTGGACTAATTCGTTAAGAGAAATGCGGTGAATTTTGCAAATTTCAAATTACAATAAAGGGGCACTCAAGTGGTTTTTGAGTTTGTGTCTTGATGATGACAACTGAATCTAGACGCCCTAAGTATCCCTAAAAACCAAAAAATATAGTCATACGGTGATTATTTCTTTAATAAAAATGTAATTGAAGGCCGCCAAACCTCGGATCCATCCGAAAACGAAACCACTCTCATTGGTCACCGCTCGCATATCAAAACGATCTCGGGCCAATGGCGTTGGACAACGTCCCGTCGCGCAGCGATCCCGAGGTAGCCGCACCGGCCTAACATTTTTATCATTCGAGCTTCGATCATGGTGGAGTTTTCTACGCTCGAGGACCTGACGCCGTTAGAGGTTGAAATTCTTCGGCGGACAGCCGACCTGAGGATGATTTCCTATGACGCCACCCCGACTTGCGATGTGGACGATAGCAGCGCTTCCGAGTCGTGTTCGGGTCCCCAGGACGAGCAGGCGGTGTCCTCCGCGCAGAAGAACTCACTTTGGTCGAAGCAGTCGTGACAAAAACGGGGCGTCATAGGCATGTTTTGTGTGTCGTCTTGGCGGCCGGTGAGACGTAACCATGTGCTTCCCCGAGGTTCATCTTTCGGCAGGACGATGAAACACAGACCTTTTCGGGCGTTCTTCAATTTGCGGTTGGGGCAGGTCGTAACCAAACAAACGTTTGGCATCGCAGCGTAACCTCTGGTACGTGATGTCAAACGATGTCGCCACGTCGACTTTCGCCTCGGGAGGATCGGGAGACACGAACGCACTTCCCGAAAACCCGGAGGGAAAGAGTTCATGATACGTGCGCTTCCGCGCATCCCGAGAAAACTGGAAATTCAACCCCGCGGAGGAAGGCAGGAGAAAATGGAGTCCCTTGTTTGTGAAACTACAATTGCAGTATCGCGTATTCTAAATTAGAACTATTTTACGTCTTGTGAAATTATCATGCACAACATATCTAAATGAACTGAAAATTGTTTCTTTAGCGAAACTTTACAAAGGCCGCCAAAATTTTCAAACATACGATAAGTTCATTGGTCGGCGCAGGAACAGAAGTGTATTTTATTCCTGCGTGATTAATAGGCTGTTCTGCCTTCTAAAACTGAAGATACTTTTTCACTGACAGTTCCTTAATGCCATTGCACCAAAAAATAGCTTCCCCAAAAACCACTTGAAAGCCCCTTTAATGCTGCATTATGCAAGCTTCTTGGTGCGCTAATAAAGCGGGCATTTTCTGAGGAGCACCGTATACGAAAAACTTTAAGTGCAGGTGATGCACAGGGCACATACTATCGAAGAAAGAAAACGTCCTTTCTTCGACTGAAATTTGCCCCTGTGGTCTATGCACCGGAAAATGCGGTACCTAGACCGAGAAATTACGGCAGCAAAAGACACGGGCAAAAACACACCTTTTCGATGTCGTCAACGCCGAGGCGTGCCATTGCAAGAGCGTGGTCGATCGGTTCGATGCACCGGGACAGCAGGGGCCCCATCAGGGATTCGAACCGTGCCCTGCACAGACAAACAAAGTACTATAACCGGTTCTGCACAATGGAACGTCCAAAAACACCATAAGAAAACAATATGAAGGAGAAGACGGATGTCTTACCCCCATCAACCTTTTTGTTCGTCGTGTCATTTTATTCTATTTCTATCTCTATTGGTGTGCTCAAGTACGTAAAACGGTACAGACACGACGTCGGTGCGCTAGGAGAGGATATTAACGGACAGAATTTTACCACCTCGATGGAAGCCTCAACTGAGCCCATTCCATTGCGCTAATGTTTCAACAACTGAATCATGGCTGCTGGAAAGAAACAAAAAAACGGCAGTCTCAGCCAAGACAATTGCGTCGCGCTCTACATACGTCTATACTTTCTTTCGCCGTAACTTGGGAACGAGCGAACGCTAAGGCTCCTTCGAGCAAATCGAAGCGGTACAGGGGCAAGTCTGTGACCCAAAAATTTGGATCCTCTTTTGTGCGTCCCAAACGTCACTTTTCTCCATTAGAAGAAAAGCCCGTCGCTCAAAATTTGCACGAAGGCGACTTCCCCTCCTCTCCCGCCCGTGGCCTTGACAGCACTGTGTGTAACTAGTGTGATCACGTGTCTGTCTCCGATGCAGTTTGCTGAGTTACGACGGGACGAAAAATAATAAAATCACCCTTTTCCCGCACGACGGGAAAAGGCGCAATGCGAGAACCGCAAAACCACTTATTCACCGTCATGAATGACGGGCGTTGTGGAGACTTTTTTTTCCCCGATAGCACACGACTCGCAGCTCGCGTCAAACTCCCGAATAGTCGAGAGCAATGTGGGCGTGTCCCGACGCACCGGCTAATGTTGATGCTGAGGTCCATGCCGTCGTGCACAGACTCGGCAAAGCACTGGGCAGAGTCCAGGGTGGCCAGCACGTGCTTGGCCGTCTCGGCCGCGTTCCAGAGCTTCGCCAGGGCGCGCCGGCTCTCTCGCAAGTTTGCCCGGGTCTGCCTGCAAAAAACGGATGAACGGGGATCAGGCGATTGCCGACGACGGATAAACGATATGAACTTTTTGTTTGAGACGCCATATGGTTAGTCCCATTCGTTCATAGCATAGGCTGGGCTCGTATCTGAGGCGAAACAAAGTATACCGAGTGCAAGTTCATCAGCATTTTGCACAGAGGTTGCGATGACGTCAGAATGCCGAGCTCTTATTGGTCGATTGAAAAAAATAGTGGGTAGACCTCAAGGCACCTAGCATTGAGGTCTACCCACAATCCTTGCAATCAAAGCCAATCAGAGCTCGGCATTGTTCTGACGTCGCTGCAACTGCTGCGCAAGAAGCAGACGACTTTGTCTCTGCATAGGTCCGTTACACGCACAACTTTGAAAGTAGAAGTGAGAAGTGCCATTCAAGGTGGCAGAGTCCTCTAAGCTCAGAAAATAGATTAATTGTTGTACGACACGTAACCTGTCGAAGGAAACTACTGCCATGGCAAAGAGTGTGACGGGATCCTCGCAACACAAAGGCAGAGAAAGCTCGTGATAAAGTAATGCTCCTTGATGGTTTGCCCACTTTGAGATACTTTGGTTAAATTTCATGGCGATTTGTAACTTTATTTTCTTCGGGTCGATTAAAATCGTCAAACCATTTCGGGCTTCTCTGCCAGCAATATTTGGTTTCAAGTATTAGATACAGGTGCGAGCGAAGGCGACGACACTACAGCACGAGCATGTTGTCTTGGCCGACACTCACTTCCCAAGTGTGCATGCATAGCAGGGTTACTCAAATTGCTGAGCTTGCTCCCTAAAGCTGCTCCTTCACTCACATGACGGTGAAATGAGGTATCGGAGCCTGCAAGTCTATTCCAAACCTTGAATGCAAATAAAACACCCATGATATTCGATTAATAGTCCAAACATGTACCCCCCTTGATATTTGACTCCCACCAGAAAGCATTTACCACAAAAAACAAAATCTCCTGGCTTACACATTCCGTCAAAATGCAATAAAGATGCAAAAGCACTTGACGGGGTTTTTAAAAGCAGCACTCTCGGATGTTTCCGCTGTCCCATGACGCTGCGGTATCGCGTGACACCTAATGTTACGGGACATTGTGACATTGTGCAGTCGTATCAACACGAGCAAAAAAGGCCCATGAAGGGTTTTCACATCAACCTACCACTCTGAAACCCATACAAATAAACACACGCAAAAATGTTGTTTCTGCACATCGACGAGCCCTCTGCAAACCCCGCGCTCACCTCTGGTACTCCTGCACGCAGTGCTCGACGAGGACGGCGGTGAAGTCCCGCCCCCCTAGCCGGGGCTCCGCCACGGCGTGGGAGGTCAGCCGGTATGCGCCGTTGCACACGGACACCACGCTGGCGCTCGTTGTGCGCCCGCCCAGCCGGTACACCAGGTACTGGCTGCGAGAGACGCCGCTGCGGTTGAACCGTCGCATGCACGGTGCTTGGAACGCATCCCAAACAAATCTGCTTGGCATCCTATTCTAACCACGCGTCAAAAGTGGTCTCCAACTGGCAACGAGGGATGTCATGAGAGCCGGCATCGGTCGTAGTATCTCGGGCCGTGACGTCTCGAGAATCGGTCGTAGTAGCTCGGGCAGAAGATCAGTCGCGACGTCCCAACTCCTGGCTGATGAAACTATTCTAGGCTGTCGAGCTGCAAAGCGACATACAGCAGAACAGGCGTCTGCCGCAACCAGCACCGCTACCGTGCCAACGCCAGGATAGTAGTAGGCAACAGCGCAGCGCATCTGCGACATCGTTGGGTGCAAGTCGAGAGACCACATTCGAGGAAGCAGTGAAAACACCAGAAAGAAGTCATAAACACTCTCGTGCTTTAGAAGCCACAACAGTCAGTTTACGAATCCCGACAGAATGACCTGCCCGTCGGGCAGTCTTAGATGTGTCACTTCCCCCAACTCCGAAAAAAGAAGAAAAAGAAAAGGATAGATTGCAATGTCTCTCGATTGAAGAGTATCTGGTTAAACCCTTCAAGCACTCGACGACAAAAGTAACCGACCGATCGTGTCAACGACTGCCTAATTATTTTGCAACTTTCTAATCGTGACCAGAGCCGGTTATACTACTCAGAGAGTTCAGCAGCCTTTTGGAGACAAGGACAGTCTAAAAACCACAGCTGTGAATCTGGCAATTGGGAAACCATATGTTCCCCCTGGTGTTGTTGACAGATAACAAACCACGACTGTCTCTAGATAGGGTAACCTGCCATATGGTGTTGTCGCTAAGTTGGCTTGTTCAAGCTAAAGCCCCTTGACGCACTTGTGTTTGTCCAGCAAGTAGGGGCTCAATTGATTTGCCTGCACCGGAGCAGAAAAGTGCAGGGTACTGTACTTCTGGTTGTGTTTTGACAGAGGCTGCACTCATCTATCAAACTTGGCAGTGTGCACCAAGTCTAGGTAAATCAAATGAGCCCGGTATCAAGTGTATCAATGCACGAGGCTCACTCTTTGTGCGGCCCTTAGAAGCGAATTGCGGCACGGCACCAAATTGAGCGGCCCTTAGAAGCGAATTGCGGCACGGCACCAAATTGAGCGGCCCTTAGAAGCGACTGGCGGCATAGCGCTCGTTCGTGGCTTATGTCTCGCACATTCTCACACTTGTGACTTGTAACGGCACTCGTAACAAACGCAAAGCATGAATCTCGCCAAAGGCGTTAGTCCTAGTGCAGTGAAAGCTCCCACCCATTGGCTAAACTCTTTCAGTACAAATGTCCCTGACTGTGAGTCACTGATTTGTAGCAATAAGAAAACTTGCAACTCACCAGACAGCCAGCGAGGGGGTTGTGCTCATGTGATAAGCCAGCGCAGCCATCGTTGGTTCGTTCACCAGGCGGAGTACCCGAAACCCTGCCTTGGAGGCCGTTTCCCTGCACGACACCAACATTGCCTCACTCGCCGCATTCGCCCAAACCCGAGGACCCGTAATAATGTGAAACTACCAAAGGAGACACCTCAAAATCAACTGCAAAAGTATTGGCAGATAAAACTAGTCTCTGGACCAGCACAGCATGCAGTACAGCGGCAGTTCCCTTTTACATTGTTTATGTCGACGCATGCTGTTTCCCACTTCCATTACAGTTCATTTACTGTCGAGACCAGTTATAACGAAGTCGGTTATAACGAAATAGCGGCTACAGCAAAGTGATCACGATTTCCCACTCCCTTTTGCACTTCGTTAACCGAAGTCAGTTATAACGAAATAGCGGATATAGCAAAGTAATTTCCGATTCCCGTTGACTTTGTTATAACCGGTCTCGACAGTATTAGTCCCCCAAAAAGGTACTCCTGCGCTTTATTCATAGACCCTGATGTGTCTGAAAATTTGCCAAACAGACTAACAAATATTGCTGAAACAGTAACCCAAATATTGGGTCAAAATAAGTTTTCTTGACGAGTTATTGAATTTAAAATATTGGTCACCACCGTGAAAGTCTCTACTGGCAACAATGAGAAAGGGATGTCAGGGGAAGGCATGTGTTCACTCTTTGGACTGTAGAATTTGTTCCTGACTGATTACAAGCAGTTTCATAGTGCCAAATGAATGCTTAGAAAGCTCGCTCCAGCGCCCACACAAAGGAACGAAACAAGTGCTCGGCATAGTCCACTTTTAAACTACCCGCTCAACCGCCACACGCCTGCCTTTTCCCGACGTCACGGCACTGAAAAGAGCGGGGATATTAGAATGTTGGTTTTGGCATCATTTTCACTCGCCAATTTCGCAATAACTATTCTGAATTTCGCGATACTAAATAGCATATCGGAAGGAGTAAAGGCCGGTGAGTCTGAAAGGTATAGTTAGTTGGGGTACCGCAAAAAATCGCCGGAGTACCCCTTTAAATTCCTACAAGGGTCTTTACACAAAGAGGGCATACAGTCATTGCACGTTTTAGAGCACAACACAAAGAAATAATAAAATGTGGAATCATGAGTTGCAAAAGGGGGGCAAGTGCTTCCCACAATAAGTATTGAGATAACAGGTAGATTACTACCGAGTCTGGTATTTTTTTTTCCAATTGTTAATAGAAAACGGCAAGGGAAAAACTTCAAAGCTATTGGTCCTAGGAGTAGACAAAAACAGTTTTCAAGAGTTATCCAAGCAACGTGAGATAAGAGGTTACGTTCACCTGTCAGTAGCAGGAAAAAAAACACAAAAAAACATGGGAGCTGAATTTAAGAATCCTAACCAATCTCTGGAAAAGAAAACGCTAACAAAAGCCGACCTTAACCACGACGAAAGGCATGTCGATTTTCTACGCCATACCCAAGTCCTGGCAAGCACATGCGTCAGGAACGGGGAACAGCCGAGCTTCGGCTGACTGAACTTCCTGTGCACTGGGGTTCACTTAAGTGATGTATTTCATGTTCACAGAGGGGAGCCGACATCATACAACAGATATTTAATAGCTAAAGTAAAGGTAAATAACACTCAAAGGAAACTAATAAGCTCACAATGTGACAACACCATCGTTCCGTCTTTCGTGCACGTTCCTGACAATCTTTCTTCTTCCTTTTTTTTCTCGTTGATATTGGCGTGCACACTTTCTTGTCACTGTGTCCTTAACTCCGTGGTGAAGAGAGAACCTGACCTTGTAGGTTAAAGCTATTATTCCTGTCCACCACGTTTCTCCAAAATGAAACTACCCGCAAACAAAGAGCATTTTGCACCCTCCGACATTCACCTGATCAACTGTCGCTGGTCGTCGTTCAAGTCCGGCGGCACGGTCACCACCACGGGGTAGTCCTCGTCTCCGGACCCCTGGCTCTCGGCCACCTCTGCGAGCGGCCGATCGAGAGGTCGGCACGTCGTCAACTTCACAGCACACTGAACGATGTAGAACTCCGATCACTATAACTGTACCCTCAACAACCACGAGAACTCATAATAAGCTTTAAATAAAAAACGTGACCTATCACCGAGCCATCCCACGCCCGAAAGTATGCTCTCCGACTTTCAAACTAGAAACTTTCGTCTCGTGGGCCATGGTAACGTGTGTGTCTAGCTTCCCACATGAGTAACTGATTGCAATTGGCTACCCATGCTGGACAACTAATCGCGATTGGTCAGACATACTAAACAGCCAATCACAATTGGCTGTCAGTGCGGTACCCAATTGCGATTGACTGGCTGCACAGGAGTGGCCAATAGCAATTGGTCACGATGATTGGCCATCCTACAGGATGGCCAATGCAGTTTCCACGAGAAGACCGATAACATGTAGAGGCAAAATATAATCTACACTGGGATTCTGGACCACAACCAATAAAGTCACTGACAGGGCGCCCATATCAGATGCCTGGCCTCCACCATGCGCTCGTTGCACTCTATCATGCTTTGGCTATGTGTGCACACTTAAGGCTCAAGAGAGGCCAAAGCACAATCGAAGGTAGGAAGCTCGCGCTGGAGGTGGGAAAACTGGAGGAGTTAGGATGCACGACCACAACCACTCACCAAACATCTTGCGGAAGAGATAGACGAGCACGTCGTTGCGGGCGTGCTTCGTGGCTGCCTTTCGATCTTCGCTGCCCGAAGACACGTCGAAGTGGACGCTGCCACCTTCAAAAACGATCTGCGTGTGAAAGTGTAAAACAAGAACTCGAATTCACCAGGCTGGACGAACGTGCAGAACTTGTGGCAAACCTTGAAATTGAACCTTCGGCAGCAAGCAAGAACGGTTAGTCAACGAGTCTGTGTGCATGAGGGAGAGTGTGATGCTTCGATCGACACTCGGCACATGTAACTGCGAGACGGGAACATCACACTTTGTTTCCGCTCCCTCCTGCTATGCCCACCCGGCAGTAGTATTACTTCATTTTGTTTGACTGACTAGTATGGTTGTCTGCTACACGTCCACTTGGATTAGAAGCTTAAAAGTACTAGATTAAAACTTGATCGCTACCGTCCTGAATATACCTTCGCCACGCATTACGACCCAAATCTCAACTTCTCGAAACAACTTCTGTGCCACGATAAGCTCACGAAAGTAACTGAAGAATAATGAACTGAGAATTCATGCCACTAGGGGCCGTAGCAAGCCAACCCTAAAACGTGAACATGTGTTCCCAAAATGTTGAGTCGGGATCGACCCCGTTTGCTAGACGGTCAAACGGAAGGGGGTTCAGCTCACCTTGCAGGGACTCTCCTGTGCCAGCTGCGAGAGTTCGTCCTCCGTGGCCATCAAGAGCGACTTGAGATTGCAGATGGTTCCAGTCGGGTTGCGGACCATCTCGCTCTTGGCCGCAAGGCCGACCGACTAGACAACGAAACGTGACGGAACGCTTTCTAAACAGACAGACCTAATAACCCAAACATAACTTATATACGCCTCTCCTGCCTCTGGGTTACCACCGAAATTATGCTTACAGAATACTGAAACTGGATGGATCGTGACAGGCGCCAGCTTGTCCCACCTAGAGACGCTAGATGTGCGACGCTTTAGAATAGTGCAACGCTTTAGAATAGAATAGTTGTCACCAGCTCTTGCCAACGTGGCTGACTAAAGATGCAAGAAGTGCTTTCCTCCGTCTTGCTTGCTAAGACTTTTCACGGCAGAGAAGGACAATACCACGATTAACAAAACAACAGCGAGTATGCAGGCAAGCTGGTGATGATTAAACATAACGTAATACCTGAGACTGTGGTGCGGAAAAATGAAGTTTCAAGTCAAAGAAAAATAAAAACAGAAGAATGTCTCGAGAAGTTGAAACATTCTCCTACTGCTGTCTTTTTTTTTTTTTTTTTCGACTTGAAAATTTTTAAAAAATTTTTGCACCAGTTTTAGGTGTTGCATTATGACTAGATACCCCAATGTTCTCTTAACATTCTATCTACCGCCCAAAAGGTTGCATTCCCGAACCACAACTGTTGCAGACGGTTCCCACACGGCTCGGAGTATCAAGATGGCAGCGCCAACGAGCTGCTGGCACGTAAGCAAACGTCATGTGATGCGAACGAACAAATGGCCGCCTTGGCGACATCAGACAATGGGGAAGGAAGGTGCCGATACTCTGTGTGTAACCACCTAGTAACTCTACTGCCACCCATACATTTAGCCTCTACTCACTCCTGACCAATGGCATGCATAAATATGAAACCCCTCTGTGCCATTTCTTAAAGGGATACGGAATCGAAACTTAAAATATGCAGAAAACATCAAGAAGTAAGTTGAATAGGATCAGCTAAACCTGTAATTGATAATCTGATGGCCGTATTTTAGGCGGATGACTATATTTTTGATCTTAAATGTTGGGATTTTGGAGAGCACTTCAAAATCAGCCATCGAAGAGCAAGATGCATCTCGGGAGATCCCGCAGATCCGGCACCGTCTTGACGCTGTCATGTCATGCAGGGTCTATTGTACTATAGCTAGGAATTTTGCCACTCGGAGGCGTCAACGCGTTACAAACTCGTTTAGTCAAAGTACACGAGGGTCGTAGCACATCGCGGAGCCGGTGGAGCTGCCTCCTGTGCGTGATGGTAGACCAACGCAAAGAGAGCAGTGGGTATGATGACGTTTAAATACACCGCCACATCACCAGTAGCCATGATGGCCAAGATGCGATTCCGCCTACAACCATATTTGTATGACCTGTCTGCCTTGTCTTCGTTGTCCGCAGCAAGTAACCGAGCTTATTCACGAAACAATCTTATGACAAAAAAGGTGTGTATGACAAAGCCTAAGAAAAAATCCATATTCAAAGTTTTGTGCAAGTTACGATGAAATCCTACAACAGCTCCAGACCTGCATGTACTTTTTACGATCAAATCCACATGGTCGGCAACATCACTCACTTACGTCGTCGCGCGGACCATCGGGCATTTCAACATGCTCTCTGCGCATGTCCTGGCTTCAAGCAGCAAGAGAAAAGAAAAAGGTACTTCAAACTGAATGCGAGGAGACAAACGCTGGAACCACGGACACCTGAAAAGCAACACCAACAACAATCCCACCAACCGACCGACCGCCAAAAACTACCTGTATCCCGTTTCATTTGCGCGAGAATGCGTGCAGATGTGTCACGGAGATCAAGCCTCATGCTTGCACTAGCAGCTTTGACGGCGTTGTACATTAAGTATGAAACAGAGTATAGGAATGCTAGGCCTAGCAAGGCACTCCGACGCAACGTTGCTCTGACAATCCGCCCACGATAGACCCTTACCAAAAATCTTGAAAGCCAGCGCGCGCAACGAATAATGGGAGTCCTTGGTATGCCCCTCCTCCCCTACCACGTGACCATGCGGCCTACGCGGGCAGGCGCAGGTTACCACGGCAACAACTTGTAAGCAGACGAGCCGGGCGAGCAACGAGCCAACGGCTGCCCCTTTCTCATCCCTCTCCTATGTACCGGCTCTGTCGTCTGCTGCATCAACGCTTTGTCGAACCTGGTCAAAACCTGCCACGGTTGCGATGCAAACTAAATGGATTCGGTGACACTTCAATACGTGAAGGTAAGTTACGACGAATAACATATTCAAATAAGTTCACCCGTCGCGATGCTTTCACGTTGCCACAAATACGGTACACCGCCAACAACGTACGACTCGGAGGATGGGCGGGATGGCGGATGGCTGCAACGGCTGTTGGCAGTAGCTGCCGGGACGCGCGCGCAGTCATGGAGGCGTAGCGAGAAAGCAAGTGATCTGTACCGACGGTTCCCAAAATTCCTTGCCGTCGTGGCGCTGTACGTTTTGCAACAGGTCTATTGGCTGGCTCGCTGAATAGAATAAGCAAATGTGGCCTTTGTGGACCCTTCCGTACAAATAGTTTGAACCCTGACCTCTATTCTGGATTAAGGCCAGTCTTCTCTCCAGTCATCCCTAGCTTGTTTTCAGATGCAGCAGTGGCGAACACTCTTGTTAAAAGAGACACTCGTCAGTTCTATCACTTTTTTTTGTGTGTTATGGTCTTATAGAGCTCAAATAAATGCCATATAGATTGCCTTTGCAACATGGTTACGTGCAGTTTTTAGCATGTCCTTTATATCCTGACACGACAGTACGCCAAGAGACATAGAGTTAGAGCAGTTTCTGGGAGCTACTCAATGCCGGTCAAGTCTTCCTCTGCCAAGCGTCATGTCAGTGTCGAGTTGCAATTGTCTAGTGGACCAGCGGTCCATAAAATCGGTTGTAAAAAAGATTGTTGCCAAAGCGGTTACCAAAGGTGCGGTACCAGTGTGGTTCTGCTCCCAGTCTGAACAGGTATTTATTAGAATTTACGCGGCTTTTGGTCACACTCTTCTAGCTCAAACCTATCTTCCTGGCCGTCGGCTCCCTCACGCCTCCCCGAGGTTACGAAACATGCCACAGCGATTTGTTTACACAAGCGCAACTTTGCAGAGTCGTGCGGGCCGTCTTCTTTTAACAACCATGGTAGTTGTTTTGACTTCGTAGCGATCGAGTTAGGAACAGTCAACCAAGGCGGCCATTCTGTCGTCGACATGTTCGGCATTTGAATACCTTTAAATCAACAATTCGTAGCGTCGACATCACATCACACGTACACAGCCCCCAAACCACCCCAAACAAGCGTTGTCGGAAAGACCATCGGAAACTGAAACAAACGGCCAGCTTTGCTGTTACTTTCTTCCCCGAAGCACCACGGCACAAAGCTCAGGTCTAAGTAACTTCTATGAGCGAGTATATTTCCCGTTGTGGCACTGCTCTCACTGACCTGATGTCGTCGCGACATGCTATTGAAGCTCCCCAGACATCCATGAGGTGGTTTTTGGTTATCGTTTAATTCAGTTTAAAATATGTATTCTTGCATTTTCCTACCAAATATTGGTATCGGTGAAGTCATACTTTAACCCTTTAACTCGTGTAATGTTGAAGCAAAAAACGAGCTCCGAAATTTGGTTTCCACACAATTTAACGCAGGATTGCCTACATCTATATAAATCTTGCATGTTTGGACATTAGGGTTACCAACTCTTCAATTAAGGAAGTCGGGACGGGGGGGCAGGCCGAGGAAGGAGAAGGGAGACACAGGGGTTTATACAAACGACAATGATAACAGGCACTACCCGGCACCAGAGTTGCCCCGATTTTGCTTGCCGTGGCGTGTATGCTAAAAAGGCTAGAGCCACTCACAGCCGACGCTAGCCACCGCAGCACTGCTTCGTGCTTCGCAGCACGACGTGAATTGTAAGGCCTGCATTCGATCACTTATAAAATTCTTAACTGGAGGGAATGGACCTAATCCAGGACATATAGCTGTCCCGACAGGGAAAAACAGAACTCGGATGCCTCATGAAAAGTAGGGACAGTCCCGCAAAATCTGAGACGGTTGGAAACCCTGTTGGACATACATCTATTTCGGAGTGTTGCTGATTCCTAGAAGAGGCCCGTTTTAACGAACTACCTCATTGTCATCTGACTGAATGATCACGCCCACACCTTTTTGGACGTCACGTACAGGGTGCAGCCGCAAGGACTAACACACTTGGCACGCCTTGCAAAAATCGAATTCCAAAAGTACATACCTGAAATTGAGCATGCGAACACAGTTTCGCAAGAAGTTTCATGTCTATTTTTTTTAGAGCTGAACTCAGAAGTAAGGAATTGTTAAAAATAAAGCAAAATCGGAGGCTGTGCATTTTCCATGTCCTATACCAGCCTGTTGTCTGCACACAGGTTTACGAGCTTGCTCCCAGGTGGCTAGCTGCATGCAAAAACGCTCAGAACCAATAGTAGGGGCTGACAATAAGCAAGATAGTCACAATAATTAATACTTTTAACAAAATATATGAGCAATAACCACCTGGGAGCAAGCTTGCAGATAGATGTGCAGACGACGTGCGTCTGGTATAGGTGGTATTCACTGGACGCCATATTTGAGCTTACTGCTCACAGCGCATGCTAGTGAGGGGAAGGAGAAAATATCTCCTCACAGGGACTCTCCTTTGTGTGCCCTAGACTTCTTTAGACGTCGCTATTCTTCCTCCAAAAAGGTTATAGAAGATTAACCCATCACTCAAAATTCGTACAAAGGCAGCTTTCCCCGCTCTCTTTCTTGCGGGGTGGTGTGAAATGGACGATGTGACGTCAGTGCAAGGCATGTGTGTGTGTTGAAAGCGTTGTGGAAGCTTGCGGTCAGCACGTGCTCAGCAGCAGCGAGCTCAGCTATGACTGCCAGTGAGTACCACCTATAGGGCATAGGAAATGCAGCCGCCATTTTTTTGCTCTATTTTTTTTTTTACTGCCTTTAAGTTGAGCTGTAAGAAAAATAGACATAAATCTTTTTTTTTAAATAGACGTTCGCATGTCCAACTTTAGGTATGCGTGTTTGGAGTTCAAATTTTGCAAGGTATGCCAAATGTCTCAGTCCTTACGGCTGCACCCTGTATTTAATGCAGGGAAGAGTCGGTAGATACACTGCAACAAACAAATAATCTAGAGCAGGGGCCTCCAAACCCCGGCCCGCTTCCAGCAGACCTGCTGCTACCGGCGCAAAATAAAGTGCAAGTGAAGAAACGGTGCTGCATTGCGCTCCAAATGTGCAAACGAAGATACTAGAAACAAGAGAAAAACTGCGTTGTAATGCGGGTCCTTTCGCCATAACATTAATTAAACGTGGTCATCACCGCCGTCACAATTCTTTGTCCCCTGCTTCACGTCTCTGCAGCTATGTTAAAATTTCTTTGCATTCTCATGTATATGGAGCTTAGTGTCCTTTGTCCCAACTACTGCCCATTGTCAGCATTACTTTTATCATTCTCATTATTCTTTTGCACTGGGCAAATGTGCCAAATTTACCATGCACTTTGATTTATGCCTGGTGAATTTTATTGGTCACAATTTTTCTGTAAGGTCATAGTTAAATATTAAGTTTCAAATTGAAATATTGAACTGCATATTACTACACCTTATTGGTAGTGCATTTCATGCCAAAGCAGCAACACAAACGAAAGCTAAAACCTTGCCAACTTTTCGGCACTAAAGTTTTGCTGACACAACACGAAACCAGATGAAATGACGAATCGAGCGCTTATTCTTCAATCATGGTGTTTCAATCCTGTTGTGGTGTTTCATGGTGTTTCAATCCTGACAGCATCTCAAACGTCTCGATTTGAGATGCTGTCACCCGTGTTCTGTCTTTTCTAATTTTAACAAGCTTTCTCCCAATCACAGGGTTTAAACATCATCTCGCCTGCACTTCGACCATTTTTTTCCATACCTTTTCTCCGTTTGAGAAGGCGACCACAGCTGGGGTGACTCTGTCACCTGAGTCATTGGCGACGGCTTCTGTATTGCCATCCTGAAAAGCACGAGAGCATATTTAGTTCAGAACAAAAGTTTTAAACAGATTGAAACATCGCCTACGTTCGGCTTGCATTTCATAAGGTGTGTAATGTCCGTTCAAAGTGTGAAAAGGTATACCCGGTTGCGATCCGGCACGTCTATGAATGGCCTCAACATGTCGGCAAGAAAAACGTGCTCGTGACAGTCTGGTCGGAACATAAAAAGTAGGCGTCGAGATAGTTAGCTGCTGAGCTGGAACTGTATGCGAAGGCTTTAAACGCCGAGCGAACTAGACACCGCACAGTATTCCCAGGGCATACCTTGTGAATTGCCAGGCAAAGGTTGGTGTTGCCGAAATACAGACCAAACGAAGCCGCCATACTTTTTGTTTAGGGCTTGTCCCGCGCTGAATGAATCAGGAGAACGACGAAACGGGAGAAACACAACAATCAATAATAGCAACTAAAAACTCTAGAATACAAATTATTTATCTTTTAAAATATAAAAACGAATTATGGCATTCCAAAATACATTTAATTTTAAATATTTTATGGTTTAAACAATTACAAATTTAAACTTTATTATTGTTTAGAACGAATATAAATTTTCTTTATATAATTAAGAAAAAATGCGAAACCAATTATTTTATTGTGCTTTGCGAAATATTGTTTTGTGAAGGTTTAATAAAGTTTAGTATGTACTCTAGCGTTCGCGTGGTAAATAAGCTAACTAATTTCTGCAGAGAATTCGTCTTGTTTCAACCAGTTTCAACCAGTCATTCAGGATTTGGTTGGTCACTGAAACAACCAATCAGGAGCGGCCAGATCTCTTACCGGCCCTCGGTAGGTGGCGTCTACGCAGACGTGTCGAATTTTCATTCATACGGTACATTCCCCCGTTGTCTTCCCTGTTTGCCGACTAAGGACACGTCGCTTTAGCGATTTAAAACGGCACTACCTCGCGCAAGTCACTGCTCGTGCAACTTTGTTACACCCGGTCAGCCAAGGCGCAGCAAGGACCGGTAAAGATGCCGTCGACGGTTCACTACCCCGCAATTCTTCTCTACACGTTGTCTCTGCTGGCAGTGTTTCTCGTCGCGGACTCCAAAACTCTGAAAGAAGGCGATTGTGAAGGTGAGTCATTTTTTTTTTTTTTTTTTCAATTGCGTACTAGTTCGCGGTGGGTCCTTCCTCATCCGAGATATTTCGCACTGATTTTAAAGCAGACGACCAACTCGCAGACGACCCCGCCACGTCTGACAACAGGCGAACGATGCGACACGGGCTTGTTAGATTTACCCTGATGCTTTCTCAGCTAGAAGTCGCGATCCCTACAGACGTGATCGGAGAGCATGAAATATGCTGACTCAGCCATCGGACTAGAAAACTGACGTTTCCACGCATGCGCAGTAGGATCGTGTCCCCAATCCAAAAATCGTGGATTGCGGTATTTGAGTACAGCACGCCTTGCAAAATTCAAATTCCTGATCGTACGTGCCTGAAATTGGGCACGCGAACGTAATTTCGCCAAAAGTGTTTTCTATTTTTTTAGCGCTCATTTCTGGGGTAGTGAAATCCTCATTTCTGGGGTAGTGAAAATAAAGCGCAAAACCGCTTAAAACCGAGGCGGAGCGCAAGTTTGTTTGCTTTTTTTGCAGGGGTTGTGGTGACGTAGAACGCCGAGCTCTGGGTCTCAAGACAGCTTGCTCTGAGGTCTACCCACTATTCAATCAGAGCTCGGCGTTCTGACGTCACCACAGCCCCTGCAAAAAAAGCCGACGAACTGTGCTGTGCATAGCAGAGGCTGGCGATGAGCAAGATAATCGCGATAATCAATACTTTTAACGAAATATATGAACAATGACCACCTGGGACAAGCCCACAAACCAGTGTATAGACGATGAACACTCGGTATAGGGCATAAAAAATCCTCTGCTGCCGTTTTTGCTCTGTTTTTAATATTTTCCCGTCTCTGACTTGAGCTCTGAAAAATATAGGCATGAAGCTTCTTGATGTTCTCAAGTCAAATTTCAGCTATGTATATTTAGAATTCAAATTTTGCAAGGTATGCCAAATGTGTTGGTCCTTACGGCCGTACCCAGTATCACATATCCTTGAAGTGGGTTAGGAAAGCAGTCCACTTGCAGATAGATTTTGGAATTGGTCGTGACTGGATACTGCTGGGACCAGTTCCGTAATCCAGCTGCAGGACTGATTTGATTTTCACACTTCAACTGCAACGTATTAACAGTTGATGTCTGCGGTGGAGTAAGGCTTTGTTATCAATGACCAAAAACCGTTTCATTTGCAGTGTGTGTTGGAGCATTGAAGAAGCTCCATGACAGGTTGGAGGTTGAGGAGCGGTCTAACGAGGGCTCCGTTGAGGCTGGCTTCCTGGAGTTCTGCAAGACGTCCAAAGGGCCTGAGCACCGCTTCGTAAGTTGCTCAGCTCATGTGTTGTCACAGGACAAGTCAGGCAGCTGCACTTGATTGAAATGTCATGCAAAGACAAGCAGCTGTCCTAAGGCATTTCATACTAAAACTCTGTAGCTTTTCATGAAAGTCTGTTGGGCAAGTATTTGCTGAGGTTGGATTTCTAGTAGCGAATGCAGCGAAAGTGGTGAACAAGGCAAAACTAAAGGAAGTGAGGTTGACTCTACAAAGTGTGGTCATTTTAAAGCCATAAGAACTATGTCGGTTCTCATTGTTCACTTTCTTGTGCAAAAGACAGAGGCATCAATGAGGGTGGATGAAATTTTCGCTATGTGTTCCAAGTTGCGTCGGTTCCTTTCTGCAGTGTTACTACGTCGGTGGTCTGGAAGAGTCTGCCACGAAGATTGTGAACGAACTGACAAAGCCATTCAGCTGGGGGATGCCTGCACTCAAAGTCTGCGAGAAGCTTGTTGCCAAGGATTCGCAGATCTGTGACCTTAAGTACCGTAAGTACCGGCCCCCATTGTTTTCTTCAGTCTTGTCAATCCTGCTCGTCGGGCATGAGATTGTCCCGTGGCAGCTCCAGCTGCCTTGTTTCTATGGTGAAGAGAGTGAGACTTATCTCGATGAAGTGTCTCAAAGGTCTTGTCTGGAAGGTTCTTTGGGAGCACTGATCAACTAAAAGCAGTTGCCCACAAACTGACACATTGAAGAAACCCTTGAGCACTTGGCCTCCTTGAAATGAAGTTCAGTGTTACCATCATTCTGAGACTAGGAGTTTTGAGTCTTCAGCGAGATATGAAGCCCATTGCTCTTGGAGGTTTATTTCTTAAATTGCCTACCGTAAAATCCCAAGAGATATAGCTCATCTAAAATCGAAAGCAAATTGGGTGAAAATAAGGATTAAGCTAACTTTCAGTGTGTGATAAAAAAAAAAAATGTTAAAAAAATGCTAGTTTAAGATTTTGTTACCTGCGAAACTTGTGATCTTAGGGAGGGGCGATGAACCAGAGAGGTCTGTTCTTCCCAATCAGCAATGTTCGCTTATTTTCCGCCATGGCTAGGTACCACCATTCCTACCAAGGTCACATTGGACAAAGCCCTTTAATTAGTAGGAATGGGCTATTTTTCGGTGTTTTTAGAACAAAATAGGGATGGGCTATCTTTCAGGGGTGAGGGATCTCTCTGGACATTATGGTATTTGACTTGTTTTTTCTGCCTTCTTTGGGCCTAGTAGACAATCCTGGTCATTTTACCCCTCTTTTTCTCCTTTGCCCCCAACAGCGAAGGTCATCGACCTCAAAACAGTGAACCTGAAGAAGCTGAAGGTCAAGGACCTGAAGAAGATCCTGAGCGACTGGGACGAACGCTGCGAGGGCTGCGTAGAGAAGACGGACTTTGTGAAGAGGATAGAAGAGTTGAAGACGGTGCACATGCGCGAGGAACTTTGATGGGTGGGAGACGCCCACAGTGCACCGCCAGCTCTTTGTCACAACTCAGCCACCCTGTACAGCCCTGCCACAGCCTTTTCGCCACATTGCGTCATGCGTTCCTTGGGGAAAGGGGGGAGGGGGTCCTAATTTATCAACTTTCTATTGAGAGTCATGTACAAAGCATCCATTAAAATGTCTCTTTGTTTATGCACACACAATGCTGATGTCTGTGTCATCTGTTGCTCAGAGTTGGAAAGGCTTCTCACTAATATGACTGCTTGATTGTTACGTTGGAGCACTGAAGCACAGTTTGAAGAAAGACTAAGATTTCAAGAGATTTATTTGCCTAAGCAAAGACCGCCATGTTTTCGATTTTCCAAATAGTCCAGCTTAGTGCCTTGTTCCTTCATGTGCCCTTCACACTTTTTCTCAGTTTGCGTGTTCCTCAAGATGTTCGAATTCATATCTTTAATTTCTATCTCTTCCATCGTTTGGTCTCTAACTGATAAAATGTTTTTGCCTGCATTAACGAATTTCAGAAAACTGAATATATTTTTGAATGTGCAGCGCAGCTAGTGATAGTGACAGAATGGGTAAGACATAATACTTATAATAAAAAAAATTAAATGGAAGAATATTTTTCTGCCAGCTAACCTCCACTTGGGCATGGTGAAATAAAAAAAAAAAGGAATTGTGGGTGCCTGTCAAATGCATATAAGTGAATAAAAAAAACTGGCTAAGTAGAGAAAATAAAGTCAGAACACGTCTTTGAAGTAGATGTGCCCTGTGCTTCTTTTTCTTCTTTTTTTTCTTGCTGGCTCAAGTATTTTTCTCTCGCATAAAGGACTTAGTTCTGTCGTGTCCTTAGGATGCCCTGAAGTTTTAGGATGTCCTGGACGTTCATAGAACATCCCAGAACGTTAAGACATCCCAAGGACATATCCTAAGGTTATTCGCAGAACTAAGTGTGCTACTTGGGAGGCACCCCCTTCTTCCCTCGTTGGACAAATATTATCCATAAGTGGATGTCGGCCGGCACATGTAGTGGAGGGTATCCCCCAAAACTATTTACAGGGTCTAGAGGTTCGAACCAGATACCAAAGTTTCAGCCTGAACGGACATTTTAATCAAAAGTTGTGTTTTTCCATAGAGCTTCATGTATTCGATAGCTCCGTCAGCCACCACTTTCCCATTGGAATTTTTAGAAAATCGAATAACTTGTAGATAAGATATCGGTTCGGCGCTTTCTTTGGGCGGAAAATGAGCGTTCGGCAATGCGTAGTTTAATTTTGCAGTAAAAAAGAAATAATAGTAATTTTCGGGGGAGACACCCCGTAGATATTTTGTTTTTCTTATCTTTTTGATCTAGGCATATTGTCAGACTCAAATTTATCACCACCGCTACCAGCTCATACCATACTACGATGCGTAGAGGGTTTCGTTTTCTCAATCGCACTCTGTACATTTGTTCATCAATCCAGGAAACACGGAAATGAGTCACTGTATTTTAGCTATAGTACTTTAGCCGCTTAACTCAATCCTGTTTAATTTTAAGACGTTAATATAGAGTAGAAAAAAAAAAGTATGCGTTTACGTGACAGCAAATGTCCAGATCTAGCGACTTTTGGAAGGTCAGCAAGCAACGTGCACTATTCTAGTTTTTGTTCTGTTTCTGGCGAGGCGCGTTTTTGTTTTGTTTTTGAGGCGGCGCGCTATCTTTACAAGTGTAGCCAACGCCCGTGGAACTCGTCGAGCCCCGAAGCAACGTCTGTTTTCTCTGTCGTTATAAAATTACGCCCTTCTGCTGAGGGTCTTGTCGACGGATCAGCGACCCCGAAAAACAATGGAACTGCCGAAAGGAAAAGTTGTCACCGGTAAGAGCTAACTTCATCGTCCCGAGTTGCCCAATTGGGAGCCCCATTGCGTTGGTATATCGCTTCTTTTTTTTTTTTTTTTTAATCCACATTATTAGCTTGTATGATTTGATCCTCACTGTGTCTTGCGCGCGTCTGCCAAGCTCTTTCAAAGACAGCAGTTTCTGCGTTTATCCTGATTTCAGAATAGTTTACACAAGTGAACAGAACCAACGACCTAATGTGTAAACAATCCCGTTATGTTCTTTATGTTAATCTGTATATTATAGATATGGCGTTGTATGTGTGCTCCGCACATGTGTGCATCATTGTTTTCTCTTGAACTTATGCCCGCAGTCAGGTGAATGAACGTTTCCCTGATCGTAAAGCAGGTGTTCGTCATCCAGTGCTTTCTGTTAACTACTGCTGCCCAAAGAACCAGCTGCACCTGAAACATTAATGTAAAAACAAAACGAAACTAGGACGTGGCACTGTTTTCATCTACCATGTCACAGACAAGAGCAACCAATCGGCCTCCAACGCTGAAATGTGTACTTTTCGAATTTCCCGCGAAAGAAGTTCCGGTCAGGTTGTGTCAACGTAAAAACAAAATCACTGTGGGAAAAAAAAAATACCGGAAAGCAAGACAAATAATAAGGATAAGACATTGTTTTTTGGTAGCTGACACAAACTGATCAGAGCGAGACACGCGAAAATTTATCGTCGGCGTGCACTCCTCGTGTGGGAAACTGTTTTGCGCTTCGTGCCGATCTGATTAACTGATAGCTTTCGTCCTCTGCCAAGTTATGCCCTGTTGCAATTGGTACTAATTATTGCTGCAGGGACTTCAGTTCAACTGGTTTATCGCATGCCCACGTGACCAGTTGCTGCTGGGAATGTGCGCAATAAACCAGTATAAACTGGAACCAGTTCAGCTTGCTCTCTTTTCACTTTTGTGTTGCATTGCGTAATCTCTGCAAAATCCACTCCTGTTCGTTCCACAATGACTTGCGAGTCGCAATACTCTGTAAAAAATAAAATCTTAATTTTTTTTATATGGATATACTAGAACAGTGTATAGCGAATCGTTCGAATTTTAATTCGTGCAATGAATTTCAACAAAAAAATTACATTGTTCAATGTAATTTTGTGTAATCTTTTATATTTTGTATAATCTTCATAATTTTGAATGTAATCTATGCTTCATTTCGAAATTTTGGAAAGGGTAGAGAAGGAGAGAAGGCCTGAAGCTTTGCCCCCAAAAGTGGACCCATGCAGCGCCGCCTATTTTGCGTCGGCATCGCCGCAAGCGCATCTTGCAGCGTCTCACAACGATGCGCGACGCTCGGCAACGCCAAGACGGACGCGTCTGTCGCTTTATGGCGTCTCTAGTCGACTCTTCAGCGTGTTCCCCGCTTGGGGCGGGTGCGGGATCCACTAACGATGACGTAATGTGCAAGGCCTTGTCTCCTAGGTGGCATTGCTGTCGCCTGTGCGTGCCGACCAAAGGAAGCGACGCCAAATGCGTATCCGTGCGACCCGTTCCAGTGCTTGGTCCCGTGGAGCCCTCCGCCCTGGGCACTGTCCTGACCCACGAGCACCTTTCTGACACCCTGGACGATCGGGTGTTTGTCAGTCAGCCCCAAGTTCACCATGCCGCCATGAGTGCTTGTCCGTTCACGCTCGAGAACCTCTGGTGGATAAGACAGTTCCCGTGAGTCTGGACTTTCTGCTATTGAGTCACGTGGAACTTTACAATAGTGACACAGAACAGTAACGAAATATGCACAAAAATAAATGCAGAAGTTATACACATACTCAATTTAAATGGGCTAGTACAAGATTATAATATTTTGCTGCACCAGTGACGCTAACTATGAAAAATGACAGCTCGTTCCATTCAGCGATGGCATGAGGAAGGGAGTGATTCGTTCGAACGCATTAGTTTTACCGGAGGTTCGATATATTGGACGATAGTTATACAGGCGGAATGGCATTCTATTGGAGTTAGAGGAGTGCGCTTTTTGGCTCTGGTCTATGGAAGTCAATTTCGGGAAGAAGGCAACCGCAACATAGCTCCCTCCGGGTTTGAAAGGGAGGAAGTCTAAGTTGACTTTCTAGAGAAGAAATACTAGTATGTATGTATGAAAAACTTTATTAAAGGTATATCATGAGGGAGGTAGTTTGAGGTGGCCCGGAGGGGGCCATCTCTCACAAGCACTAGGTGGACTCCTCAGTACAGGAGCCCATTGGCGATTGCCGCGGTTCGGGCTCGGTCAACCAGGGCCTTCTGGCCCTCCAGGTCGGAGCAGTCGAGCAGGGCTGCCTCCCAGTCCTCCCGGGTGGGGTTGGGTTTTGGGACGAGGTTCGGGGTTGATTGGCATGCCCACACCATGTGGAAGATGTCCGAAGACTTCTCCGCACAGTGCGGGCATTTTCCTGTATAAGCAGGATCAAAGTGTTTTAAAACTGCCGGGCACAGCAGGGTTTTGGTGTAGAGACGGAGGAGTGTGCGTTCCTCTGCCTTTGTTAGGCCCTTACAGGGCTTAGGATAAATTGCGTGGCCGAATTGGTATAATTGAGTAATTTCTCGAAAAGTGAGGGCTGGATTGGGTTCGGGATCCATTTCGGAAGGGTCTGAAGGCGTTGCCCGGAGAGTGAGCGCGCGGGCGGCGGCGTCTGCCGTTTCGTTGCCTTCGAGGCCCATGTGAGCAGGAGCCCAGACGATCGTTCGAGACGCGGGGGCCCCGAGGTAGTCACTATCTTTAAGGATGCGATACGCAAAGAGAGGAATGTACCCCTGTTCAATATTTCTGCAGGCCCCTCTCGAGTCGGTGATGATGACTCTCGAGTCCTGGTCTGCGGCGGCTAGAGCGATGGCGATCTCCTCCGCATGTGTTATGTCTTTAGCTCTGAACGTAAGGCCGTTCACCAGGACGTTTTGGTGGACGACTGCAGCCGTGTACCTCCCCCCATGGTGAGGGCCGGAGGCGTCCACATAGAAGATTCCGGGTTTGGACCCATAGTGGCGGGCCAGTGCCTCCGCCCGCGCAAGGCGCCTGCCACTGTGGTCGTCACGTGTCATGTTGGCTGGAAGAGGGCGCACGTGCAGGGCGCATCTCCAGACTTCGGGGATGCGTACGCGCTCTTCTGTCAGTGTTAGGTGATGGATGTGTAGTCGGGCTAATAGGTGGCGTCCCGACGACGTCTTTGAAAGTCTTGTATATTGATTGGTCAAGTGTGCCTCCTGGAGCTCCGCGAAAGTGTTTACCATCCCCAGGCCCATGAGGCGCTGGTTGGACGTGTTCATCGGGAGATCGAGGGCACGCTTGTACATCTTTCTAAGAAGCACCTCAAGGGCGGTCTCGTCAAACTTGCGCAGGTGGAGGTAAGGAGTCGAGTAGAGGACTCGACTGGTCACGAACGCGTGCGCCAGCCGCAAGGCGTCTTTGCACCGTAACCCCCCGCGTTTGTTGGAAACACGGCGGACCATTCGGCCCACCTGGTCCCCCACCTTGCGCAGTTTAGCCAGTGTTGTATCAACCCGCCGATGTTTGTGGATAAAGAGACCAAGCACTCTAATCTCATCGTGTTCGGGTATCGGGCCGCTGGCCAGGGATAATTCCATTTTGGTGGTGCACTTAGGCGACGGGCGAATGTGCACAAATTCGGATTTGGACGTGGAACATTGAAGGCCGCAGCGGCGGGCGTAGGCGTCCACGATCTCCGCCGCTTGCTGCAGGTTGGCCTCAATGTCTCCCACCGACCCGTGTTTGGCCCAAATGGTTATGTCGTCGGCGTACAACGCATGCTGGACGCCTTCGACTTTCGCCAGTTGAGCCGGAAGTTTCATCATGGCCAGATTGAAAAGTAACGGCGAGAGGACCGCGCCCTGTGGTGTTCCTCTCGTTCCCAGTTGATAGGGGCCGTGTTCTTCGTCTTCTATTCGGATAAAAGATTGTCGATCCGAAAGATGGTGTAGGATAATTTCGTGTGTGACGTTGTCGAAAGCCCCCTGCAAGTCTAGGGCGAGTACTGCCTTATCGTTGAGGGGGCATTCGACAGGGTTGAGAATTTCTCGGTCGAGCTGAAGCAGAACATCCTGCGCGGACCGGTGCTGGCGGAAACCGAACATGGTGTCTGCGAATACATTTTGGTTTTCCAGAAACCCAGACAGCCTGTCCCGCACCATGGTCTCCATCAGCTTTCCCGCACAAGACGTCAGGGAGATGGGGCGGAGGCTGTCTGTGTTTATGGCTTTGCCGGCTTTCGGAATGAAGGTTACCAGGGCGGTCTTCCATTCGAGTGGGATGGGTGTCTCACCAAGCCAAATAGAGTTGATGAAAACGAGGAGGGTTGCATAGGCGGGGTCGGGAAGATTGGCAAGCAGTTTCACAGTTATCATGTCCCGGCCCGGTGCCGTTCCTCGTTTCATTTTAGCTAGGGCCGCCTTCAGGTCGTGCAGCTGGAAAGGCTGATCCAGCTCCGCGTTCTCTGAACCCGCATACGAGTACGCAGGCCCTCGGGGGTCCTGTTGGGTGCAAAGGTATTGGTCGCGTAGTGTGCAAGCTAATTTTGAGGTATCTCCATCGAAGCTATGAATAGCTCGTTGGAGATGTTTTTGTGTTTCGGCGCGGGTTTGAGTCGGGTCAATTAGGGCGCGGAAGAGGCGCCACGGGCTCCGGCTAGACATTTGTCTGGCCGCCGTGTTACAGCGGTCCACCCAGTTCGAGTCGGCGAGTTGGACCGCGTACTCTGCCGTTCGCTGGGTGAGCTCGGCGATACGAATTTTGAGCTTTCTATTATGTTTTTGGCGGCGCCATCTGCGGACGAGGCTGTGCCGCGCCTCCCAGAGGCGCAGAAGGTGGTTGTCCACCTCCGGCGTTGCCTCCGAGAGTTGAATATGGGTTTCCGTCGAACGGAGGTGTGTAACCAATCCTTGTGCCCACGCGTGGTATCCTTGTTCGTTGATGGAGGCCGAATTGATGTAGCTTTGCCGGAACTTATTCCAGTCGGGGAGTCGACCTTGTGCGTGGGGTCTTGCCAATGGTTTAGTCCTTATGGTGATATTGATAAGGCAGTGGTCACTACCAAGGGTTTCCTCGGTGTTGGCCCACTCTGCGTGTCTAATGTTTTTCGTAAAGGTAAGATCCGGACACGTATCCCGGGTCACAGAGTTACCCACTCGCGTTGGATACGCAGGGTCGGTGTGGAGAGTCAGGCCCAGGGTGGACGCAAGTTCCGCTAGCTTGCGTCCCCGCTTCTCCTCACGAACGTACCCCCAGAGCGTACTAGGGGCGTTGAAATCGCCCACAATCACGAGGGAGTCCCTGCCCGCAGCCTTTAGAGCGCGGCTAAAGAGTGCTGCGAACGTTACATTTTTGAGTCTGGGGGAACAGTAGATATTGAGTATGTGGAGGGGTGCATCTTGTTTCTTGAGCGGAAGGAGTGTCACCATCACATACGAATATTCAGTTTGAAGTTCCAAGTCGACTAGATTTGCCGTATAATTTTTATGCACACAGACGCAGGAAGAGGGGTCCTGCTGGAAGGTGATGTAGTTTGTAAGAGTGGCGCCGCTCCCTGGCTCCTGGAGAGCAACCACCGCAGGAAGCGAGTCGAGAGTTGAAAGGAAAAGTCGGAGATTCGCCCGCTTTGCGCGGGAGCGGAAGCCCCGGCAATTCCACTGGACAATTTTGACGGGGGTGGCCGAATTGGTTCTTGGGGAGCGCCTGATCTTAGGGCTGCTCGCCATGGTGAGTTAGGCTAAGGAGGGATGGTAGTGACGCTGCTCCGGAGCCAGCACTCGCGGGGAGGGGGGCGTCCTCCAAACCGGAGAGCGAGCAGCTGTCGTCATCGTCTACATCTGGGGCGCGTCTAGGTTTGAGAGGGCGGCCGGATACGTCCCTGTAGGGACCGCCGGGCCTGCGCGAGGGGCGCAGGGAGTGCGCAATTTGTTGGGCAATCATCGCGGGGATTGTCTCTTGCAATTTGGAGATGGTGTTGACCATCATTGGGATTCGGTTTTCAAAGGCGGTGAATCGGGCGTCAATCGCCGCGAAGCGGGCCTCGAAACGGGCCTCAAATGCGGCCGCCGCACTTGACGCTGCGTTCGGCGCCACGAGCTCACTCTCCATTTCCTCAGCCGCGGGGGGGGAGGGGGGAGGAGGACGCTGGTTCATTTTGGATTCCAATTCGTTAATTTTCTTCAGCAGCTTCTCGTTTTGGGCCCTGAGGGCTGCTATTTGATCTTGCTCGGCGCTGCGCGCCCTTGGGGGGGGAGTGAGAAGTGGGGAGGAGGAGCCAGCCCTACCCGAACCGCTCACCTGATTTCCGTTTTTGACGGCGTCGACCCAGGACCCGGTCTTGCCACGCTTCTCCGCCGCTCGTTTCTCCAGGCCGCCGTGTGGTGGCGACTCCGTCGACGGTCGCTTTCCAGCACCTCCGGTAGGTGGCGCTGGCTTCGTGGTGTTAGAGGTTTCTCGGCGAGACTGGTCGCCGGGAGGCCCAAGATGGCGGCTTTTCTTCTTGGGCGCCATATTCTTTTTTCCTCCCGTCTGGGCGGCCATCTTGGGTGTGCGGAATTTCGCCGCACAGTCGCGAGAGTTGGTGGCATGGGCGCCACCGCACACAGAACACCGGGGAACACAGTTATGAGGGGCCCGCACCCCCTCCACTAGCGGAGCTTGGAGTCCGCAGAGTCCACACGTGTTC